ACATTTGAACACATAAAATCATATTTCATTAGTTTCAAAATTTCAGCCTAATCGGCTACGGGGGACCAAAGGAAAAATCCTCATTTTCGTCACTTTGCGAAATATAAAAATTGGTTGAAAATACGTCGAAATGATGCCAAACTAATACAATTGCATTCTTTCATGAAAAATACATTTGAACACATAAAATCATATTTCATTAGTTTCAAAATTTCAGCCTAATCGGCTACGGGGGACCAAAGGAAAAATCCTCATTTTCGTCACTTTGGCAAAATATAAAAATTGGGTTGAAAATACGTCGAAATGATGCCAAACTAACTACAATTGCATTCTTTCATGAAAACAATACATTTGAACACATAAAATCATACTTTGATTAGTTTCAAAATTTCAGCCTAATCGGCTACGGGGGACCAAAGGAAAAATCCTCATTTTCGTCACTTTGGCAAAATATAAAAATTGGGTTGAAAATACGTCGAAATGATGCCAAACTAACTACAATTGCATTCTTTCATGAAAAAATACATTTGAACACATAAAATCATACTTTGATTAGTTTCAAAATTTCAGCCTAATCGGCTACGGGGGACCAAAAGAAAAATCCTCATTTTCGTCACTTTTGCGAAATATAAAAATTCAGTTGAAAATACGTCGAAATGATGCCAAACTAATTACAATTGCATTCTTTCATGAAAACAATACATTTGAACACATAAAATCATACTTTCATTAGTTTCAAAATTTCAGCCTAATCGGCTACGGGGACCAAAGGAAAAATCCTCATTTTCGTCACTTTTGGAAATATAAAAATTGGGTTGAAAATACGAAATGATGCCAACTAAACAATTGCATTCTTTCATGAAAACAATACATTTGAACACATAAAATCATACTTTGATTAGTTTCAAAATTTCAGCCTAATCGGCTACGGGGGACCAAAGGAAAAATCCTCATTTTCGTCACTTTTGCGAAATATAAAAATTGGTTGAAAATACGTCGAAATGATGCCAAACTAATACAATTGCATTCTTTCATGAAAACAATACATTTGAACACATAAAATCATACTTTGATTAGTTTCAAAATTTCAGCCTAATCGGCTACGGGGGACCAAAGGAAAAATCCTCATTTTCGTCACTTTTGCGAAATATAAAAATTGGTTGAAAATACGTCGAAATGATGCCAACTAACTACAATTGCATTCTTTCATGAAAACAATACATTTGAACACATAAAATCATACTTTGATTAGTTTCAAAATTTCAGCCTAATCGGCTACGGGGGACCAAAGGAAAAATCCTCATTTTCGTCACTTTTGCGAAATATAAAAATTTGTTGAAAATACGTCGAAATGATGCCAAACTAACTACAATTGCATTCTTTCATGAAAACAATACATTTGAACACATAAAATCATACTTTCATTAGTTTCAAAATTTCAGCCTAATCGGCTACGGGGACCAAAGGAAAAATCCTCATTTTCGTCACTTTGGCAAATATAAAAATTGTGTTGAAAATACGTCGAAATGATGCCAGACTAAGTACAATTGCATTCTTTCATGAAAACAATACATTTGAACACATAAAATCATACTTTGATTAGTTTCAAAATTTCATCCTAATCGGCTACGGGGGACCAAAGGAAAAATCCTCATTTTCGTCACTTTGCGAAATATAAAAATTGGTTGAAAATACGTCGAAATGATGCCAAACTAATTACAATTGCATTCTTTCATGAAAACAATACATTTGAACACATAAAATTATACTTTCATTTGTTTCAAAATTTCAGCCTAATCGGCTACGGGGGACCAAAGGAAAAATCCTCATTTTCGTCACTTTGCAAATATAAAAATTGGTTGAAAATACGTCGAAATGATGCCAAACTAACTACAATTGCATTCTTTCATGAAAACAATACATTTGAACACATAAAATCATACTTTGATTAGTTTCAAAATTTCAGCCTAATCGGCTACGGGGACCAAAGGAAAAATCCTCATTTTCGTCACTTTGGCAAAATATAAAAATTGGGTTGAAAATACGTCGAAATGATGCCAAACTAACTACAATTGCATTCTTTCAGAAAACAATACATTTGAACACATAAAATCATACTTTGATTAGTTTCAAAATTTCAGCTTAATCGGCTACGGGGGACCAAAGGAAAAATCCTCATTTTCGTCACTTTTGCGAAATATAAAAATTGTGTTGAAATACGGCGAAATTGCCAGACTAATACAATTGCATTCTTTCATGAAAACAATACATTTGAACACATAAAATTATACTTTCATTAGTTTCAAAATTTCAGCCTAATCGGCTACGGGGGACCAAAGGAAAAATTCTCATATTCGTCACTTTGGCAAATATAAAAATTGGTTGAAAATACGTCGAAATGATGCCAAACTAATTACAATTGCATTCTTTCATGAAAACAATACATTTGAACACATAAAATCATACTTTGATTAGTTTCAAAATTTCAGCCTAATCGGCTACGGGGGACCAAAGGAAAAATCCTCATTTTCGTCACTTTTGCGAAATATAAAAATTTAGGGTTGAAAATACGTCGAAATGATGCCAAACTAACTACAATTGCATTCTTTCATGAAAAAAACATTTGAACACAAAAAATCATACTTTGATTAGTTTCAAAATTTCAGCCTAATCGGCTACGGGGGACCAAAGGAAAAATCCTCATTTTCGTCACTTTTGCGAAATATAAAAATTTTGTTGAAAATACGTCGAAATGATGCCAAACTAACTACAATTGCATTCTTTCATGAAAACAATACATTTGAACACATAAAATCATACTTTCATTAGTTTCAAAATTTCAGCCTAATCGGCTACGGGGACCAAAGGAAAAATCCTCATTTTCGTCACTTTGAAAATAAAAATTGGTTGAAAATACGGCGAAATGATGCCAGACTAAGTACAATTGCATTCTTTCATGAAAACAATACATTTGAACACATAAAATCATACTTTGATTAGTTTCAAAATTTCATCCTAATCGGCTACGGGGGACCAAAGGAAAAATCCTCATTTTCGTCACTTTTGCGAAATATAAAAATTCGGTTGAAAATACGTCGAAATGATGCCAAACTAATTACAATTGCATTCTTTCATGAAAACAATACATTTGAACACATAAAATTATACTTTCATTGGTTTCAAAATTTCAGCCTAATCGGCTACGGGGGACCAAAGGAAAAATCCTCATTTTCGTCACTTTGGCAAAATATAAAAATTGGGTTGAAAATACGTCGAAATGATGCCAAACTAACTACAATTGCATTCTTTCATGAAAACAATACATTTGAACACATAAAATCATACTTTGATTAGTTTCAAAATTTCAGCCTAATCGGCTACGGGGGACCAAAGGAAAAATCCTCATTTTCGTCACTTTGGCAAAATATAAAAATTGGGTTGAAAATACGTCGAAATGATGCCAAACTAACTACAATTTAATTCTTTCATAAAAACAATACATTTGAACACATAAAATCATACTTTGATTAGTTTCAAAATTTCAGCCTAATCGGCTACGGGGGACCAAAGGAAAAATCCTCATTTTCGTCACTTTTGCGAAATATAAAAATTGTGTTGAAAATACGGCGAAATCATGCCAGACTAATTACAATTGCATTCTTTCATCAAAACAATACATTTGAACACATAAAATTATACTTTCATTTGTTTCAAAATTTCAGCCTAATCGGCTACGGGGGACCAAAGGAAAAATCCTCATTTTCGTCACTTTGGCAAAATATAAAAATTGGGTTGAAAATACGTCGAAATGATGCCAAACTAACTACAATTGCATTCTTTCATGAAAACAATACATTTGAACACATAAAATCATACTTTGATTAGTTTCAAAATTTCAGCCTAATCGGCTACGGGGGACCAAAGGAAAAATCCTCATTTTCGTCACTTTTGCGAAATATAAAAATTTTGTTGAAAATACGTCGAAATGATGCCAAACTAACTACAATTGCATTCTTTCATGAAAACAATACATTTGAACACATAAAATCATACTTTGATTAGTTTCAAAATTTCAGCCTAATCGGCTACGGGGGACCAAAGGAAAAATCCTCATTTTCGTCACTTGTGCGAAATATAAAAATTGTGTTGAAAATACGGCGAAATCATGCCAGACTAACTACAATTGCATTCTTTCATGAAAACAATACATTTGAACACATAAAATCATACTTTGATTAGTTTCAAAATTTCAGCCTAATCGGCTACGGGGGACCAAAGGAAAAATCGTCATTTTCGTCACTTTTGCGAAATATAAAAATTGTGTTGAAAATACGTTGAAATGATGCCAAACTAACTACAATTGCATTCTTTCATGAAAACAATACATTTGAACACATAAAATCATATTTTCATTAGTTTCAAAATTTCAGCCTAATCGGCTACGGGGGACCAAAGGAAAAATCCTCATTTTCGTCACTTTTGCGAAATATAAAAATTCGGTTGAAAATACGTCGAAATGATGCCAAACTAATTACAATTGCATTCTTTCATGAAAGCAATACATTTGAACACATAAAATCATACTTTGATTAGTTTCAAAATTTCAGCCTAATCGGCTACGGGGGACCAAAGGAAAAATCCTCATTTTCGTCACTTTTGCGAAATATAAAAATTGGGTTGAAAATACGTCGAAATGATGCCAAACTATCTACAATTGCATTCTTTCATGAAAACAATACATTTGAACACATAAAATCATACTTTCGTTAGTTTCAAAATGTCAGCCTAATCGGCTACGGGGGACCAAAGGAAAAATCCTCATTTTCGTCACTTTTGCGAAATAAAAAAATTGGTTTGAAAATACGTCGAAATGATGCCAAACTAACTACAATTGCATTCTTTCATGAAAACAATACATTTGAACACATAATATCATACTTTCATTAATTTCAAAATTTCATACTGTGTGCATACTGTGTTGTATTGAATATGTATTTCTTTTACTAGGCTTTCCTTTAAATAAAGCAATTCAATACAGTGAATTGAGGAAGCCTTTTTTACTCAACGACTTGGAATCACAATATCTGCTTCAAGATCGGTATATAACATCTAATTAATACACTATATGAGGATAGATAGTTGTGATCTTGTGTTCTGATAGAGTGAGGCACATTTGTGTCTGGTTGGTTAACACTGTATTACCAATAGTAACTTCTTTGGTATATGCAGTTTTACAAATGTCTCAGAAAAAGGAAAGGTTAACAAACAGATGAAACATTTTGTGTGTACACCAGTGTTTGTACCAGTGTTTGTACTCAATATAATTAACTGATGTTTACATTCTGTTAAATTAAGTCATTGAGTTTGATTGCAATTCCTTTTCTGTGTAGGTAGATGTTTAGGTAGTGGCCTCCTCCAAGTAGTGATGTGATTTTTACCTCGCAAACCTGCTTTTGTATAAGTGCATCATGGCACCTCTTGACTAAAGTAGTAATGCAGTTTGACCTAAGGAAGATTTAATTTATTTCTTCATTTTTAGCCAAAGAGTTTATGAAAAGCTACAGGCCATTGGTGTGCCTGTCCCCCGCTATGCTGTCCTCAGGCGAGACGAGGCAAACAGTTGTGATGATCCAGATTTCATGGAAAGCGAAGACACCATTCGGGTTCATGGCATGGTATTCCACAAACCGTTTGTTGAGAAACCGCTAAGTGCAGAAGACCATAATGTTTATATCTACTTTCCATCTCAAGCTGGTGGTGGTTGTCAACAGTTGTTTCGTAAAATTGGTAGTCTCAGTAGTCGATATTGTGACCAGAGTCAAGTCAGAAAAAGTGGATCCTATATTTATGAGAACTTTATGCCTACTGAGGGTACAGATGTTAAGGTTGGTATTTAATTCATGATTTGAAATAGTTTTCAAAATGAAAGCATTTACTTTTGTGGGCAAACTGATCTTTTTATTAACAGAAAGTGCTTATATATAGAAAAAAAATGTTATAAAATGAGGATGTCAAATTGTCGAAAACGACTCAACTATAATTCCACGGAGTTTTCTCATTAATTCCTGTGTTGTGAATCTGCCAGCGTTTCTGTTCATTTCCTAAGGTATACACAGTAGGGCCGGAGTACGTTCATGCCGAAGCAAGGAAATCGCCTTCGTTGGATGGCAAAGTTGAAAGGGATTATCAAGGCAAAGAAATCAGATACCCCGTCATCCTTTCAGCGATTGAAAAGGAAATCGCAAACAAAGTGTGCAACGCGTTCAAGGTTAGTTTATGACTCGAAAGTTCACCCGTAAATGTTCAATCTAGGGCGGACGCGTTATTTCATACAGTGCATGATAGATACATTGTACCATCGTACCCAGGGTGGCGGTAAATGCTTACCTACCAACCATTTTAAGATATTAAAAAGATATTGAAATGCGCAACCTTAAAATCCCTTGTCTGTGATCATTTTTTTATTGAAGCCTAAATTCATTGGTGTTGTTTCAAAAACATGTTTATACCACGACACGATTTTATCTTATCTATATATCTTGGACTAAAGTTTTCAACTGTATGTACCAATATCTAGTATATATATAGTATGTACCAATATCTAGTATATATAGTGTGTACCAATATCTGGTATATATAGTATACTTAACATGCAGTTATTTCAGGATTTGTGGATGTCATCATTTCCTATTCGTTGCATATTTCTTTCTAGCAAACTGTTTGTGGTTTTGACCTGTTGAGAGGCAATGGGATGTCGTATGTTTGCGATGTAAACGGCTTTAGTTTTGTGAAAACATCGAAAAAGTATTACGAGGATTGCTCGCAAGTGTTGGGTCACATGATATTGCAGAACATCGCCCCTCAACTCTCGATTCCTGATCTTGCAATCGAGGACACGCCATTCGTTGACACGCCAGAAGAATCTATGCTCGAACTGCGTTGTGTTATGGCCGTCATAAGACACGGGGATCGAACACCGAAACAGAAGATGAAAATGGAAGTGCGAAATCAAATGTAAGTAGAAGTTTAGGGTTAAAGATTAAACTAGTTCACACGTAAGAGCAGCGCGGTTGTTGTGCCACATTTGAGGCATGTTCATTTAACAATTAGTTTTAGTGTTAATAGTCTTGCTTGATAAACCGTTCCATGTTGAGATATACAATGGCGCCGTGCATTTCCCGACGATTGACTGTGTCAAACGCTGACCAAGGGCCGGTTGTACGAAAGATGAATAGCGCTATCCACCGAATAGTGATTTTTCAACCTTTCTAAAAATGTTTGAAAAGCAATAAAATTTTAGTTTTTAAGCAACAATTATTAAAGATGGTCATCAATATTGGAATACTAAGATTTAAAGGTTTAGCCAAACAACGAGCGATTTTAAAGCGATTGAAAAATGCACTATCCAGTGGATGGCGCTATCCAGCTTTTGTACAACCGGCCCCAAGATTATGCTCTCATTCGCAATGGTAATGAGTCACTCGACGACGGGACAGTACCCCCTCCTGTCTTCTCTGGCCACACCCATAATAGAACAAGGCGTGATAATATTCACTTCTACCATGCAGGTTCTTCGATCTCTTTCATAAATATGGAGGGACAGTGGAAGGGAAGTTAAAATTAAAGAAACCTAAACAACTGCAAGAAGTGCTGGATATAGTTCGTGTTCTATTAGATCGCGCGAAAGAGCTGCGTGATGATGCTGAAAAAATCTTCGAATCTCATCATAAATTGGAACAGTTGAAAAGTGTATTGGAAATGTAAGTGTATAAAGCCCCGGTTACACGGACGATTTTTGACGTCGAATTTCTCTTCTTGGTGTATGTTATGAAGTGAATTCAACAGAGTAGGTTACTTTACTTCGCCCAGCTCATATAACTGCGTATATAATTCGCACAAAAACATACGCTAGAAAGACAAAATCACCGATGAAAATTGCCCGTTTAGCCACGGCTTAAGAAATGTAAGAATTGCAAGTTGTTCAAAAATTTTTAAATGAGGGCCAAACTGGTTTAAATACACGATGCATTTTTTCTTGCAATTTATGCAATTCTGCTTTTCAGATATGTAAATTTGGCAAATAGAAAACTTTTGTGTTTATTGCCATATAGAAATAATAGACAATAATATAGTCTATTATTTCTATGTTTATTGTACTTGTAAAATATGTTAAATTGTAGTTAACAGAGTTCTGTTTGTTTAGGTATGGCCATTTCTCGGGTATAAATCGTAAGATTCAGTTCAAGTATTTAGAAAGTTCCCGAGGTAAACCTGAAAAATCTGCTTGCGAGGATCGTGGTCGTCATGGTTACGCATCAGGTAAAAAAAATGTACGAACATTTGTCGGTTGAAGGCCTGTTCACCAGATTTCTACCTAGGCGCTTTATTGGAAGATATACGGAAAGAACTATACTTATATAGAGATCTGTGGCCCGTTCATCGGCGGGCTTGGGGAGTATTTGTCAAAAACCAACTTCTTTAAGATGCAATTTCCAGTTTTCTATGATTTATATGCACGGAAGAAATCTGTGAATTGAAGCTAGTATAGGGATTAAGTTTATTTAAACATGCAGACTCAACGTTAAAGTATGTCTATACTGGATTCAACTTTGCCGGATCCATGCCATTTTTTCTTGGGCGGCAAATCAACCAATTAAGACAAGTTCAGTTCTACTTCGTCAGAAGTGAAAATAATTGGTTGAATAGAACTATAGAAGAGACGACGTTCGACTTCTAACACTCAATAGTTTTTGCTAGTTTTTCATCTATCGCATGCTCTGACTATTTTCTCTATCCAACATTTTCTGTATTCTGCCTCGCAAATTAGATTAATATCACCGATATATATTGTGATATTTCCCCGGGTGTCTGAGCATACCGTCGCAATACACATGTATTAATTCCTCTTCATGTTCAGGTGCGGAGCAGAATGATGCCGACAAGGACGACTGTAACCAAGTGCGTCAACCGTCTTTGTTACTTATCATGAAATGGGGAGGTGAACTAACCCCGTTTGGACGAGAACAGGCGGTTGAAATGGGAAAATCATGCAGGTATGTCCACAACACATTCCGGGTTCTCTGCAATGGCGGGAAAGTACTGGGACTAGTTGTCAAATGAAATCCATTTTTCGGTTGAAACAACTTAATATCTCTTTAAATATACTTTATTTCGGTTTCAAATTTACGTCAGAGCTATAATTCTTATAACTAAACGTAATTACAGAATTTCTACTAGTTTCATAAATAATAACAAAAAATATAATCGTATAATTAAATACTGCAGAATGGATTTCTATTTCGACAACCGTTCTAAGCGCTTGGCTGAAATATGAGCGCTAAATCATAACGTAGTTATTCATACTTGTACATTTTTCAAGGCTGCAAATTTTGCGATTTTTTGCATCTATTTACGCTCCTGCGGTGTCCTCTCTAGGGTCGCGAAATTTTGAGGATTGCATGTATATTGCGTATATAGCTAGGTAGATTTTGCCCGCGCGAATGAGAAATTTTAGAAATTTGTTGCAACAATGGCATTTAAACAAAATACGAAAGGCTCAAATATGATCTCCAGCAAACTCTAGGAATATCATGAAAACTAAGTGTTAGCGTAGGGTTAGGGTCGTCATTATAACGATTTAGTATGCATGTGTTTATAGTATATGGTGTTTGCTTTTTAAGGTGTATGTATCCTGGAGGAAGAGGAGAATATGCGAGCTTGCCTGGATGTGGGTTATTAAGATTGCACAGTACCTACAGACATGACTTGAAGATTTATGCTTCGGATGAAGGACGAGTTCAAATGACTGCAGCAGCTTTTGCCAAGGTGAGCCCAGTTTCCAGCTGATTTCTGCAAATGTAAAACAAAGGTTTATCAGAACGGATTGATTGAGTAAATCATTGTGTATTTTATTGCAATATTTTATCGTCACGCTTTGTATAAAAGTAAACGGCTATGGAAATGTCTAAGATTTGAATCGGAAAACCGTTTTGCAATTTATTTACACAAGGATTTTTTATAACGGTTTACGGTATAACCGTCTAAGATCTATAGGATAATTTTTTCGCCGTTTCATTGCAGGGTCTGTTGGCACTGGAAGGCGAACTCACGCCAATCTTGGTTCATTTAGTTCGTTGCGATAAACACGCAACTAAGATGCTGGATGCTGTTGGTGACCCACAAAATTTGACCTACAAGTACGTAATGGGTTGAGCTATCCGCTTGCTTTGTTTTACTGCAACTTAAAATAATTGTTGTAGTGGTTTGAAGAACGAAATCATTCTCAGGTTATTCTACATGCAGTATGCGAAAAACCTGGGAACGAGGATAATTAAGAACAACGCTGACGGATTACGCAGGCTCTGGTTAAGAGATTGGGAAACATTGCAAAAGATGCAACTCAGGTCCTCGGCACGAATCAAGCACTCTTCCAAAATCATAGAGGTTCGATTTTTGCCGGAAGACCTGAGTTTCAAACGTTCCTGGCTTGGTCTAAATAGTCGTATGATTCAACCTTCGTTCCCCTAAGCTACCATCAACAGTGAATTTACGATTTCCATTTTCTAATTATCACTCAACAATAACACTCGCATCCCTGAAATATGTTCGAACAAAGTGATTTTTCAAAAAATGGTTATGAAATATGGTGATATGTTGCAGGATAAAAGGCAGACTTCATGAATTTTTCAATTTAGACAAGGACTTGTGCGACGAAGATTACGAAAAAGTAAGTATGGTAAATTACGGGGTTTCTTTTTACAGTTTAGTGCTCTACATTAAATATGGTTATTCACTTGCTTTCTAAGTTTATTGCGAGTACATGACCAAATGCATTTTGAGGTCATGCAGTTAATCAGGATAATGTAACTGACCTTTGGTGGACAAAAAGCTACTAGTTAAAATTTCCAAAAACTTGTTTATCATAATTTGGATTAATTTTTCCAAAAATATATCCAGGCTCTCTAGGCGATTTTCGTAGGTTTTAGATCCAACGACCATTTATAGAAATACAAGATTCACAATCGTTGCTCCTCAAAGTGAGTTGTACTTCATCAATTGTTGGTTGCATGGTTTCTAGATAATCCCAACGGCCTCGGTGTCGCAATTGCAAGCTTTAAAGTTCATCAAGAACCCTTTCAAGATGTGTCGGCGATTGTATTCACTTGTCCAGTCCTTGACAGCTCAACTTCGAGAGATGATGAAAGATCCTAATGTTGATCCCCAAGGTATGTACAATGTTCGTAATATTCTTGGAATTTTGCATGGTGACATCGCAATAAATAAATTAGCTTGTAGGTACACCACAAGCACTGCAAAGCTTTGCAGTATTAAATTCTAAGCTTTGCAGTATTAAATGCTTACGTGATGTACCTACGAGCTAATTTATTTATACCATGTTCATGTTCGGAAAAGGGTTGGAAATGCACTGCATGGATTCTTATCAAGAGATATCCCCTCAACTTTCTCCCTTTATATGGAAAGCGTTATTCATATATAACATTTTACACCCTAATTTTCACTATCAACCCTGAATTCATGCGTTAGCTAGCGCGACTGATGCATTGCAACGCAGATTCAAGAAATTTGATTTTAGTGCACCGTTTCTGTATTTTTAGACAAGTCTCTCTACCACAATGAATGTTTGGATTTAATGGTTCATCGCTGGAGTAAACTTGAAAAGGTTAACCTCAAAATCCGAATTTTTTTCCTGAAACTTTCTCGCTAAACATTGCATATTCTATTGCACGTCCAAGATAATTTTTCTGTAGCATTTTAATATGCATGTTCAGAAATTCAAAGCGACTATAATGTGCGAAAACTCTCGAAATTTACGCCGTTAACTTTTCGTTTTTTCTGTTTTAGGACTTCAGATTACGTAATGGTAAATTTGACATAAGCCTCATCCCTGATATCTATGACTGCATCAAATATGATGTGTTTCACAACAAGTATGAAGCCATGTGTCTTTCACGACATATTCACTTGACAGACTATCAATATCAGTATATAATATGTACTAAATTTTCCATTTTTAGCAAGCTTAACTTGCGCGACGGACCAGAGCTGTTCAAATGCGCTAAAGCATTAGCTGATGTTGTCATTCCTCAGGTAACTACTGTAGCTCCTCTACTTCCCTACCGGTCTTGTTTTAAGCCATCAGAATATCTCTTGTTTAATATGGCCTGTCGGAACCCGTCCCCCGTAGATTTTTACTCTGTGATAGTTTGTGCATGAAGCTAAAGAATTTGGCGCTAAATTCTATGGCAAAAGGAAAACTTTCAACTTTCCGTACAAGGAATTATATATGTGGATGTGCTGCACACTGTGGCCACGCCCTTCTCTTCCTTTAATCCAAATTTCATCTGGACTGTTAACACATGGAATGAATTAGATTACCCAATAAAATTGTATGATTTTGCATAAAAACAAATTTTCTGTTTGCAACTTTTTAAGGAGTATGGAATAACGGAAGAAGAAAAGATGAAGATATCTAAAAGAACATGTCAGCACCTTTGTAGGAAGTTACTTGGAGATTTACGTCATGCAGATCAATCCGAAACCACCCATCGCCTAAATCCCCAGTGAGTTGGCATTTTAAAATCATACTGACCGTTGGTCGAAATTATGTAGATTACGTGAGAGTATTTTTATTCATCAATGCGCACATCTTGGTCCTGAAGGTAATATTTTGACCTCTCGCATGAGCCATAAGTTCTTTATGAGACATGACATAGTGCTTTATATTTACAACATAATAATTGGTTTGCAGACTCGGCTAAAATTTTGGTTAGGGAAACAATGGATTTATGGCATGATAACGCTATCGTAAACCAGTCAATTAAATTACAACTACTCTCGGATTGGACAAAATTCATTTTAGCCTGCAAAATATACACCGTAGCATTAATGCCTGATGAAATTGTCGTAATTTTGATTTGTAGGCGGTTAAACCGTCGCAACATCAAGTCTCAGATAATTGTAGACGATAATTGCATTTACAGTATTAAGATAAATCATTGAAAATGAAGTTTTTTCGAGTCGGGAATTGAAGTGATTAAGATCTCCCACTCAATGAGTTTAGGTATAAGAGAGCTCTTTGAATACAGGCTTAAATCTCTATTTGCAAATATAGAATAAAGTAACTATCTCTATTAGCCTTGATTAAAAGCTAGTCGCGTGGTAAGGAATTGATCGAAAAATGTAATATTTCTCTGTCGTTATACACGCATCGTGCTTTATTTTAGATACAGTCGTGATATTGTCACGCCCCATCGTCATGTTAGAACGCGTCTCTATTTCACCAGTGAAAGTCATATCCACACTATGATTAATGCAATTCGATATGGAAACTTGTGTGACGTAAGCTATTTTCAAATATACCTTAGACTTTCAGGATATCAGTGGAAAGCTAATAACTGTTTTTTTTCCGACCTCAGAATACAAAAATTGAAGTGGGCATGCGTGGGGGGTGGCGTGTTTTAGCTAATTTGGTTTCGTGAAAATGCATGAGGCGTGTTTATACAGAGTTATCATTCCTTTTCGGTAAGTAGAGTTCACTGCGTAAAATTATTTTTAGGATGTTTCAGATGAGTTTTGGAAGCGAACAATCGAGTACTTTTCCTCGGTACCCGAACTCAACTACATGACCCAGATTGTACTGATGTTGTACGAAGATCCACAAGCTGACAAAGATTCTGACAAAAGATTTCACATCGAGTTGCACTTTAGTCCTGGCGTTAAATGCGATTTGGAGGAAGCGGCAAAGGACTCTAAATTGAATCTACTTCATAAAAAACCTGGCTTTAGATCAAAAGAGGGAGAAACAGACGGTAAACAGACTAAGTCATACAAGGGCCCAGAGCAATCCGAGAACAACGTAATTCGTAAAGAACACGCGAGTGATGTACCAGTGGACGAAGAAACAGAAAAGAAAGCACAGTCGAACCAAATAGAAGGTCATTCCCATAGCAGAGCTTGCCGAAGACGCTCGGAAGATTTGGTCGTTAGGACTATTTTTCCAGCTGGAGAAGGTGCAGATGAAAATACGATGCCTACTAGGAGAAAGAGCACTGGAAGGTCACGGTCAGAGTGTGAATGCCCTGTAAAATCTACGGATGCACTCAATAGCGATGCGGGTAATTTGTCGTTCGGATACAAAGCTAAATCATTGGGTAAGTAATAGCAATCATTTATAGATTTGGTATATTATATACCTAAGGAAAATAATATATAATACCCAATCCAATATAGTCCTCTTTACAACGTGCACTACCAGAGCATCTTTATTCTCGATATTTCGCACGATAACTAGGAGACTTTTTGTTGTAGCAGCATATAGTCGAATTATACCCATGCAAGATGTATTTTAGGAGCTGAAACTCGAAAACTCTCCAATTCAATATTCGTCATGATGCTAGCTGTTTCATATACATAGCTATTTCGTAGAATAATATCGATTCATATAATTTTTTTCAACTGTATGATTCTTGTGATTTAGAATCGATCCACGGTGACAAGGTGATGCCTGTTGGCCCGATCGATATTTCACTATCAGACGATACGAAAGTTTTGTCTACGAGAGAAAATGCGAAAGCACTGCGTTCAACTATATCAACGCCGTCACTTATAAAGACACAGAAATGTGTCACAAGAGCAGCTCTTGGTAACTACTTCAATGCGTTTGATATTTCATGACTATAGACTGCTGTTGGTTGTGTGTGAGCGGGACTAATGTTTAGGAAGTGGCGGTTTATTATGCCGGCGTATAAACCGTGTCTGGGGGGAGGAACGTACCCCGCCCCAATGATCAAAAGTGCCCTTATATTGACCTTGCATGCAGCTTTGATCCTATGCTTTGATAAAAAATCATCACTATACCACTATACGCATATTGGTGCCCCGGATGTTTGTCACCCCATTATCGGTATACCTTGCCAAAATACACAACTTAGTCAACAGTTACTCTGAAATATTGTCCTTCGAATTAATCGAGTTTTCAATTTTAAACAAGTTTTGTTCCGACTTGTCGATTTATTATAGGTCCGGTGTTCTCTGTTCCCGGAGTGCGAAAGTTAGCTTTGCAAAGTGCAGTCCCAATGGCGAATGTTGTAACAAGGCCACGCGCGTCAATAACTGAAGATAACTTTTTGTCTGAGGTTGCAGGTATTTATTGTTGTTTTATCTCTTATTTTTGATGTTCTCTTATTTTATCTGTTAGAGCCTGTTTACATGGAGCGAGTTATCCCGCTTAGGCCTGCCTTTGCTTAGGCGAGGTAAAAAGCGCATCACATCAAAGGCTTAACCTGATTAGTCTTGCATTATATGCAATTTTTACCTCGCCTAGCCCGGATAATCCGCTCTAAGTAAACGGACCCTTCGTCTTGTGTATTGGTCGTTTTGTGTGTCCTCGGGGCTCGGGGAGCCTAGGTTGTATATCGAACTACAGGCAGTAGAAAGTATGCGGACTTTTATAATCTGTGAAAAATAACGGCAAGTTACAAACGGAAAATTTATATATTCCACTAAATCTAGATTACAATCTTCTCTCTCAACAGCAATCCAAGGAGACAGTCTTCACAGTGTGTTATCATGGATCCATCCTTTGAAAACCCTACACGGCTGTATTCCCTTGAGACAAATGGAGACTTTCTTGAGGAAAATAAGCGATTCTTACGAGCCGGAACTAACACCAGATCCTCAAAACAGATGGATGACAAACCAGACAAGCCACGGCGATTGTAGCAAAAGTAGCTGTGGAAGTAACAATTCCCCACTGATGAGAGACCTCGCGGACAGCATACCCAAAGGACAGGATGGCATTGACATTGCTGAATTTGAAGCATGTGAGGTTTTTGATAAGGGAAAATCTGTTTGAATATTTGTAAATGCATAAAGTAAATTTTTATTTATCAAGATATCTGTGTAGTTACTTCAACGATTCAAAACGGGGGATAAAAATGCATCGATCGTAATAGTAAGATTTCCCCCCGAAGTACGACAATAATTTAGGCTGTTTCCTTACCTTTGGGTTTTGGGACTATGACTATATATAATAGACCTTGAGCACTGGACATAAGTCTTCCATCGCTTCTATCTGTATGGAAGAGTTTGATGCCATTCTGGTGACGACTTTCGAGTTTACCTTTGTCACTGGTTTCAATATGATGCTCTATGCAGTCTGGCTTACGTGAGATAATATGTGTTTACCAGCCATAGTACCAGCTTTCAGAAACAAGCCTCTGATAGACCTTGCGCATTATGACGTCTCTTGGTATTATTTAACTGACTTGGTATTATTTAACTCGCAAAACTCACGAGCCAATCAAACACCGTGTAACACCAGGCTTTCCGTGTTTAACGTCTTTATGAGAATTTGCATACATATTGAAAGTGTTATTAAATTTTTATCAATTTCGGTATTAATTTTAATAGTTGCGTTGAAAAATTTACGCACTATATCGCCAAAAATTGCCCGCATTTTGGTTGCTCTATTGCTATTTTTTGTAACATTTGTTGCTAAAAATAATCCTTAAATTAAGTGTTAAAACATATGACATACACAGGCAGTAAATATATTACTGTAAATAAATGGTCACCCATGTTTTCCTCAAATTATGCCAATAATGTGCTCAGATTATAGTATTCCGTGATTCCGACAGTTAGCCGAGCGAACCGAGACGTTTTTTGCGCTTTGTTTGCAGTTGTCGACCTGTTGTCGACCTGTATGAATATGTCAATCGGGTGGTAAACAACGATGTCGTACTATTCTGGTGAATTTATTCACCTTGAAATTTGAATTATGATTCAATCTAAAAACGTTTATTTTTTGTGGAACACCGTTTTTTTTTGAGCTGATCAAGTTCTAAACTATGATATTCTGTTTAGCAATGAAGTAATTGACTCCGTCTCAGAAAGAAGAGTACCCAATTCGACAGGTTCGAATATGGCGCTGTCAAATTTTGACGACAAAATATGTCCACGGTTTCTCGATGGTTACAGCAAAGAAATTTTGCCTTGGGATCGCTTTAATAGATGGATAACTTGCTTTTGTGTTGTCACATTCGATCTTGAGCTGGGACAAGCAATGGAGGTGAATTTTACGCTCACATTTTGGGTGATCATTTCACTTATATGTATGAAGCCAGCTGGCCGGCATCCTGGCGCAATCCACCGGGATGTGATTTGAAGTCGCACTAAAATTTCGTGTTATTTTTTATTAATCAGATTTATTAAAATTCTTGATCTAGTTTTCTTTGGTAACTATTTGGTCTCAATGATATATGTAGTTTCAACATTTCTTGCCTCGTCAAGTCTTTTCGACAGTTGTATTAAACCCCCTTCTAGTGCAGAATTACTAAAATTATGCAATGATTATGTGTTAGTGGCACGTGAAATCTTACTTGTTGATGGTTCATAAGGACAACAGTTAAACAGTATTTTGTTATCCAACTCACTTATTTAGTTGAACTTAATTAATTTTTCTTAGATGATTTATCCTCGTTTTGTGAGACTGACAGAAAAAGAGGTATTAAATTTTATGTCTTGGTATACTATATTCTTTGCAGTGCTTCAAATCTTAGATATTTGTCCGCTTGATCCTATTTAGTAATGAAAATAGAATATAATGTTGATTGTATCCTACCTCATTTAGAAAACAAATATCTGTTATTTGGCATTTCCAGACTCCAATTCAGGTAATACTATGAATGGATAAACAGTAACCAGTGTCTGGGCACTTAATAATAATATACAGTGTATACCAGAGGCTGGTTATGCCGATGGACAAATGGTGGATAACACTATGTATTGGGTTTTGAACCATGCCGTTTATAAAAATGAAAAGCAATAGTCAGTGCAGTGGTCAGGTCAATGTTGTTTTAACAATTTTGTCCCCAACAAAAGACAATCCAAATTATCTTGGCTAGTACAATTGGAGATTTTTATAAAAATGTTAGTGCTTTTGTACTGGCTTAGGTGGGAAATGATGGGTTGGAAATGATGGATTGAGATTGAGATCATGTGTTTGTGGGCAAATCTATGCTTTAAGGTTGTTACATGTGTACAAGAAGTAATGTGGTAGTATTACTTTTTATAAAATAACAAGTATATAATGCATGTTCTGATTGGTCGAAGCCCGTGTTTGGATCAGGCCATCCAAACACGGAAACCATTAAGTAATTGTATAATGCTATCATGTTAAGAATTTGGTTTGCTAGTGGTATGATGATAGGTAAATGGTAAAATATCTGTCTATTGTAAGTTGTATATTTGTTTACTATTTTATGTAAATATTATATTTTAGGTTGTATGGGAGACACACAGTTTCATTTTCGAATGAGGTCAGAGTCAACCATTTGCAAGAGGAATAACTGTTGTCGCTCAAATGAAAATGGATTGCCATTTGGCTATAAGGTGCAAATTGACATTGAAAGCTTGGCAATTTGTTTCATAATCAAGAACTTTTTATAGAAAGATCATCATTGATGTCGTTTATCATTAGCCAAGATATTCATGTTTACTGTACAATGTTCACCAGTTTGTAAATCTTGAAACAACGTTTTCATTCAGAGTGACCAAGGTCATTACTATGGTTTTGTCTTTTTTCGGCAAGTCAAAGACCCAACCATACCAAGAGGTTATTTCCAGAAGGTATGCATCTAAACAGTAGTGAAAATTAATTAAAAGAATTGTCAAAGGGAAGTTTATATAGATGATACAAGTTTTAATTTTTATTTTTGTCTTTTTTAGTCTTTGGTTCTTATATCTAGACTTCCATATGTCAATTTTTTTACTGAAGTGGTATGTTTAGCACTTTCTTACCAAATGTTTAATGCTTAAGAAAATTGAAAATTAAGACCCATATATAACGTTAAATCGTGCATTAATGGTGCATTAGTTTCAAAACATTTTCTCTTATTGTGTTCCATGACGTGAAGAACAACATGATACATATGACGTTTGCACATTTGTGTGTGCAAAAACTCCGGTAGAAACCCCTACAGTAGCTAGCTAACCGTCACCCTTTCCTATATATAACGCAAATCACAAAATCCGTAACATACGATATAACCATTGTCAGGGCTAAATTTTCATATAGCCTGTGCGAATAGCGTCGTGAGTATTCCGTTCCAGACTTCCAGGCACACAAAAAGATTTGGACACCTAGTGAATAAATGACACAATCAGTGAATATTACTATAAAAGTACAGCACTTCTGGCCGCTTTCATGGTTATCATCACAGATTACCGTTTAGTGTTTTAGCGGTAATCTTTTAAATTACTTTTGTTGTTACCATGCAGGTAAAGGTTGCTGCACCTGGGTTTTTTGATATGCAAGAGCCAGCTCTCGAAGCTTGCTGTCATGACATAGACCAATGGCCTTTTCCAATTTCTGGTCAAACATTTTTATTACCTCTCATGGGTTCTCTTATTCAGGTAATAACGTGATTTATTGATTTGACCCAACCTATCTCGTACACATGAAAAGTTGCTTTTGTGGAAGACGAACAATCAACCTTCTTTAATTTCTTGCAGCTGCATTTACCATCTCGCAAAGACAAACCGGGCACTGTGATGTCACCGAGTAGTAGTGTCGAGCAAACAATTGTGGTAGGTACATTTGTTACTTGTTTTTTGAAGTGATATAAAAATATTGTTCATGTAAGCTTCTGGTTCAAGGGGTGTTCATTTTGAATAATTTTTATCATGTCTTTGTTATAGCCACTTACACCAGCACCAACTGTTATCCCTTTGTTGAAAGAAGCGGACACTTACAGGTATGTATGATATAAACAGTTTTCGAGTTCTTCCATTGCTTGAATATAATGTGAAGATTGCTTGAGGCGAGGTATTTTCGACCGAGATAATGAATTATAAAATATAGTCAAGGTTGAATATATACCGGTATATGTGGTATACTCGATCAGGTTGATAAAAAATTAGTGCAGCCTTTGTTAAGTCTGCCGAGGTGGTAACGTTGTGCCTCGTTATTTCTTCATTATTCACAAAATACTGTCTAATTTTTGAATATAAGTTTCAAAGAAATGGCTATCAATGTCAGAGTATGTTAACGAATGTTAAAGCTCGTGATCGTTTTTTTTTTACCAAGACGCCATTTTCTTTCAGGTGTATATCCGCCGTTTTGAACCACGTTCACTTGTTGTGGGAACTCGTCTTACTGAATGAGGTAGAGTTAAAATTGGTTTGATGCATTGATTTGTTTGAGGCAGTAATATAATATCTATATTACTGATATAAAGATATATATCTGGATAGACGCACTCTGCTTTACGTGCTCCACGTGGTCTATTCTTTATGGATATTACTATCTGATGTAATGTGCCACTATCTCTTTATTTTAGCTACCTTCTAATTTTTTTCATATAGCCAATCGTAGTTATGGCTCCATCACCTTCCATGTGTTCTGAAGTTGTGCAGTCTTTAATCACGTGAGATATTCAGTGAAACATAGCTTACAACTAGGTTGTCAGAACTTTTTTTCACAAGTCTTTTTCAACCTAGGTTAATTCATCCTCTTCATTTTAACTCGGACTTCAGACCGTTTTTTACAATCCATGACAGCGAATTTAAAGAGTATACGACAAAAACACGCGCACCGTAAGTATCATTTTTCAATAGGCAAGGCTATTTTCTTCGTTCAGCTTCTTCGTTTTATATATTTGTTTTTGTATTTGAAAGTATATTTAAAACATGCAGGCTATATGCTTTGTAAACGTTCCTCATTTTGAATGTTAGGCATATAGGTAATACGCCGCATTTTCGTCGCGACGAATGCAATTCAAACAATAGATAATAAGATATGATCAACCTCATTAACCTTCATTATCATTTTATTATCTATTGTTCGAATTGCATTTGATGCAACCAAAATGCGACGTATAACCTAGGAAACATGCGATTTTTTCAACTGTTTTCATATTTTGCAGTCCTTCTGTCATTCTTGGAGTAACCAATCCGTTTTTTGCAAAGACGTTACAACATTGGCCTCACATCGTGAGAATCGGAGCAATGAATAACTTAAGTAAGATATTTGAGTACTTAATAGAACATACATGCAGTTACCTTAAAAGGCTATAAAATATTTCTTCCTGTTATAGTGTTGGGCAGTCGACCGTCACCTTTGGGAAATGATAAGAGGTCGTTTGAGGGCAAACCAGGTCTGTTTTATGTAATAGTTTGAATAGTTATCTGTTGCCGTCACCTGGTGGTTTAAGAGCGTATACATATACAAGTCTTTTTTTATTTTGTCCTCATGCAAGGGAGAAGGGGGTTAGTTAGTGGTAAAACACAGATTTTGGTTGTGTTTGTAGATAGCATGCGTAATTTTTTTATAACAAAGTCTATTCAATATTCATAAAGTCTTAATTATTTTTCTTATCTTTTCAGGCATTTACACGCAGTATAAGCCATTTTTACAGAAAGACAAACCATTTATCAAGACAATAAAGAAGGTATAAAATTTTTGTGCCATTGAGATAATTAACAAAATACGCACGTCACACGTGTTTTCTTTAACTTCCCGAGTCCAACAGTTATCTATTTATACCTGATTTTTATCATTCATTCTGGCAGGGAGGGCAAAAGAAGCGTCCTGCAGAAGTTCAGGTTTGTGCAATATATTCCAATGTAGACCAGGCGTATGCGTATCCAGTTTCGTATTGCGGTCATGCATAATTTCAAGCTTGCATGCAAAACTAGTAAAATGATTTACAGATAATTGCAATCGGTTAATTATATGAAATTGTTGCAGTCGTGATAGTTCTGTAAATTTGACTTCGAAAGTTGAAACCTTGATTTATTTTATCCATACAGAATGCCATACTGAGAAGACATATGAGGGAACTTACACAGAGTTTTATGATCCCTCTTGTGAGTATACATACCACTTTCCTTTACTGAGTTGCAAAGGGGGTTGCCCTTTAATTGCTCCATATTAAAGAGGAAATATTTAATAGGAAAGATATGCTGCAAGTTTGATGCCTCTGCAAAGAAGTATTTCACCATGGAAGGTGAGTTGAATATAAACCGAAGATATTCGGGTATATATCGTCTCAATGCAGTCCCTATGTCAAGGTTTTGGAGGCGATACTGAAAAAATATCGGAAATACCGGGTGTCCCCCAAAAAAGTAGCTACTCCGATTTGATTCAAAATATGTAGCTTGTTATCGAGTAAAATTATCGAAATGAAACAACTTTCATTAGTTAGAGGAAAGACTAACTTAGGTTACGTTATAATGTCCAAATGTTTCTTAAATGCGAACAATGCCTCTCTCATTTGTTGCTGCTATGGCTGCTACATGCTGCAATTTTTTTATCAATCAAACCGGGGTACTTTTTTGGGACACCTAGTAGTACCAGCTCTTTTTGTGCGAATCGGTGACATGGAAATCGAGATGTAAAACAATATCTGTGAGGGTTAAAATAGTATCTCAACCCGGATACGTTAATTAACTTGTGTTAATTTGCTGTGTTTCCAATTTAATTTGTTGAGAAGACTATTCTATCTTACATTAATGAAGCTTCCTCCCAAACTGAAATGTTTCGACGCTGAGGAATTTTTAAAGACGGTCGAGCATTCTGGTCCACAGCTAACAACTGGTCTCAAGGGAAACTGGAAAGGCTTGTACAGGCATGTGTGCATTATAACCTAGTCCGAAGAACAGTGGAGCACTGGAGATTCGGGATTGACAATGCGTTTTGGGAATCTTTTTTTACGGGCTTTTTGTTCACGTCCCAAAAATCACTAACGAAACACTAACTCTTTAATGCAACTTTGAAATGGCCTGTTGAACTAAGATAGTTATATGGTTATGCCTACAACTAGAAATTTGAAGCCGGTTAGAACCAAGTTCTTGAACGCGATTTAAGCATCCGAATGCTGTCATTTTTCATCTTTTTTCATCTAAAATATGCAGATTATTTAACGGCTCTGTTTGTAAAGTGAAAAATCCTGCTCGTTTCGATGTGCCTTTAGTTATTAATGTTGCATGAAAATTGCGGGAGTTGGATACCTAACAAAGTCATTGCATTTTTTAACTGCCTGTTTGTTTGTTTGTTTCTGTGCCTGCATATGTTTTCCATTGACATAAGAAATATCTGTTGTTCTTTTAGGAGTTTTTTTAAATCAGCAAACTTCGAAGGTTGGTTCAGAAACAGGCAGTATGAAATCCAACAGAAATTACAACTTCTTCATTTGGAAGCTCTGTCTGTTGCTGTATGTATTCTTCATTTGGTGATTTGTTAATATGAATTTTGTTCATTCCAATATGACTCTGGGATCAATATCTGAGGAATGAAAGAGGATAGATTGGACATGCAGTAACAACATGAACCGTATGCAAGTTTAGCTATATACAATTTATTATACTCTCAAAACAAACGTGTAATTTTTAGGATATGACGTTGTGGACATCAGGAAAAAACGAGGTTGAAATTGTGGATTTTATACTTCAAACGCGAGAGAAAATGGTTCGTCACTTGACTTATATGCATTATTGTGAAATTCATGAGGTTTATACCCAACCAAATATCGTGAATTAGGTCACATGCACACCCAATGTACCCCATACAAATTGGTTTGAATAAATATGCAAATCAATTACAAACGCTAATGTGTGTATATCGGAAAAATACATGTACAAAATAAATACTGATTTTCATATCTATTCAACTTTTATTCATTACAAGTTCATTTCAAAAGTTGTTTACAACATTCGCGGCCGTGTTTTATTGAATATACAATCATGAGCGAGCCAGAATTTAAGTGGGGTTTTGTGTGGCAGAATTAGACTTTGATTTCTTATATCTTAGAGAATCTTAGACGAAGGTAGGATTAAGCTAGCTGGGTATAAACCCGACAAAACTCGGAATTATGTCTCAAACGTTTTCGTTTTAGAGCAGCGCAAAGCAATTCGAAACACAAATCACTGAAGATGTTTGGAAGAAGTTGAATTCTCAGATTGAGAACGTTTTAGACACGTTGCCACAAGATCTTCAACTGATTCTTCGTCAGAGTTGATTGTAAACAATTCGAGGGAAAAAGATGATGGCGACAGAGAAAAGTCAGCCTAGAAAATTTGACCAGAAAACGTGAACGCATGCACCCTACTGTGATGCACGAATTTATATCTCCAAGATGGACAGGATGCTCCCCGTTTAAACAGTGAGTCCTTCTATCAAGCCTTGGGGGCTTTTTCTGGATTGAGTTGGGTTGTAATGATTGGGGATATTTAAAGAAATAACTGCACAGGAAAAAAGTCGGTTGGACGAAAACGTGAAAGCCGGTTCCATGTATAATAATGAGAAATCTAAACAGAGAAGTAGTTAGCGAAGTGTTTTATGATATAGGCCATATATGTTTATACATACTTCTCACGTGCCGAATGCATTAAAAACAATGGTTAATCAGTTAACATGCGTCATTATCAATAGACCATTTCAGATGTTGTGATCATGTGATAGCTAACAATTTGCATACAAGCTGAAAAGGTCTATTGTTGTAATGCATTTAGCACGTCATATCCACGACGTTTAAAACAGACCATTTGGTTAACAGTTTTGTTTGCGTCTTAATGTGCTCCAAGCATGACTGCCCCTGAACTAAGTATTAATAATGACAATAATGTTAACACGACTTTCAACTAATCATATGTGTGTGTATCAAGCTGGTTTTCCATTTTAACCTATCATAATATTATTGTAGATTACTTAACAATGATACATTTTAATTGCTCTGGAGACAATAGATTCCAAACTTTATTTCAAGAATTTAATTTACATGCTTCTGAAAACTGAAAATTCGCGTCGTGTTGCCGCATCGCGTCCGGTGTCTGCCGCAACGCCTTTCCTTTTTAGGGCCTGATTCCACAGGCACAGGCGTTTTTTCTCGGCGAAATGCGAAATATTTCGCCTTTTTCTTTTGAGTTAATTTTGCTTGATTGCTCACAATTCAAAAGGAGCATATTATTTCCCATTTCGCCGGGAAAAAGCGCCAGCGAATCAGGGCTTTGAGTGAAGATTAAGCAATACAAAGGCTGGATTTCAACTTGCAGGGAAATGGTCGTCTAGCGAAATATTTGCATGATTTTGAATTGAGAACAGACAAGTTAAACAAAATTAAATTTATTTGGGCTGTTGAAATTGCAAAGAAAATATGCAAATATTTCTCTGCAGGTGATGCCAGCTTTACTGGAAATATCTAATATATGTTGAAGTATAGACGGGCATCATTGGTAAATTCGCATAAATCTTCAATCAAAATGTCCTAAAGTATACTATGTGATATATAACACAGGACTCTTTAACAATGACTCTCAAAGTTAGGGCGCTTGAAAGCCAAAAGGATATGGTATATATGCGCTGTATATGCAACTAGTCAGAAGAATGCCGGAACTCTGCTTGACATTAAACAAGAGAAATTGTAACCTTCGATATTGATTGTCAGTTTTCCCGAAACTTTCCAGCCAATGCAATAATAGTTTTGGTTGAAAATCCTTCAAACAGATGTTCGATCCTGTCCTTTGGGTTCAATGATGATCAATAGTGACGGCTGTCGCCATAATCGACATCTCATAATTATTCTCATTGCTGTTGTTCGCCACTCGTTTGAACTTCCGTATTGCGTTTGTAAACCTTCTGTTTCGTAAGCAATAGATCACGGGATTTAAAAGGCTGTTTAAAAATATCAAAGTCATCGCGATGGGGTAAAAATACTTAAGATACAGTTTATCCCTGCTCTTGACCTGTGCATATACCACGGCCGCAAACATTGGCGTATAACAGACAACTATAGCGCCAATAATATAAAACAACGTTACCGCAATTTTATAATCGTTTTTTCTAACATCGTTTAAGGTTAAACTTGCTGCGCTGCGACCTCGTATTTGTCCTACAATGTTTACAGTTGGAATTATCTTTTGCCATGACATTTTCAATTTTATCAATATGCCACAGCATGAAAACGCTGTTAAGGCAACTCCGGTGAAAGTTAGAATACTAAGAATCATGAAATAGGCTTTGTAGCTCTTTCGGAGAAGCAGGGAGCCGGTTAGTGCAAGCAAAAACGACCATAGAGCACCAACCGCTCTTTTTAGTCTTATTTTTGTGATCCAACCACGGTGCTTCAGCGGGTAACAAATGGCGAAATACCGTTCCAGGGAGATAATTAAACTTAAAGTCATAAACGATGCACCACCACAAAACTTTAAAGTTACACTGGACAGCAACGCTAGCCAGCATAATGGTTTGGCACCAAGAACATCTCTGACAAGAATGGCAATAAACAACGGCTGGGCTACGATTCCTACGAACAGATCTGTGAACGCGAGAGTTATCAGTAACATGTTTGGTACGCTCTGGAGTGTTGTATTGCGAAAATATGCCATGATTACAGTAATATTACCAAGAATAATGAAGACGAGCAGGAATAGATTGACCACAATCAGAGGAATGTTGATGAAACGGTAAGACTCTGCGGGTCCAAACTGGTAAACTCTGTCAGGATGAAGACATGTTATGACAACAATATCATTGCTGAAATTCATTACGTATAGTCGTATATGATATAGCTGTTTCCACTTGTACGTATCCAGAAGTCAGAAATACGAAATGTTGGAAATATCAATTCTACGTGACGATCAAGAAAACTGTAGTTGACTCTTTGTAGATTTAGGGAGACAACAAACTTTATATTTTTGAAATTGTCGTCTCTCCTTGGTAGCACGTTTAACTTTAACACGATTCTGTAAAATCTTTATCCGGTTGCTGTAAATGTTAATGCCAAAAGTCAACAGTTCGTCACGTATAATCTTTCAATATTCGCCAAAGCTTGGCTTCAATAGGAAAAAGCAAAGCCGTTTCAACATTTAGCAATTAATTTATACTTTCTTTAGCATTATATATAACTGCATGTCAGTGTATATTTGTTTAACCATTAGTTAATTACGTCACAGGTCATATGATTTATGTAGACACGTTCGTTACAGAACAGGACAGGTGGAATTTAAATTGACCAGCAATGGACGACTTGCGCTTTAGACTAATTTCTTATCTCAGCGATAAAAAGGAAATTCTCCAAAAGAGCTTACTAAAATTAGTAAAACTGCCAAGTTTGGCTGCGAATTGTTGTAAATCACCGAAAATATAGCCATACGAAGTTGTCGATTTTTGTATAATTTTGTATTACGGCCGGAAGTTTGTGACTAAATTAGTTACACATTTCTGCCCGTAATACAAAAGTATATACAAAATATGCCAACTTCGCTTGGCTATGTTTTCCGTATTTTACCAAATTTCACAGCCAAACTTTGCATTCGCACTAATTCTAGCTGTGCCTGTGGTGATTTATTTTCTTCTTACTTCAATAAAAAATTAGTCTGAAGTGCAAGTCGTCAATTCGCAAGCGGGTTTGGTTTGTGCTAGCCAAACTATCGCGGGTGCGCATGCACAGCGGCTACCCACAAAAACTAGAGGCCATTTTATAGCGAATTTTGGCTCAAGATCAGACGAATTTGCTGCCTATTCCAGCGTTGCAGTGATATTAAAAACTCTAAGCATGTGCGACGGGAACACGACGACGGCGGTTATCAATACGATGGGTCATTAAAAAGAAATGAATAATTAAAAACCTATGAGAGTTTTAAACGTCGCCTACCTTCTGTTTACAACTTCTCCGATTACAACTTCTTCAAAAAATCTCCGATTTTCAGGTCCTTTGTAGGAGGTCTGCATTTCAGGACGCGGCGAGCGCTAACTCGAATTATATCGTTATTCGTACATTTTATTAAATATTGTTATTATTCAATTAACTTGTGGTTTGCCGAGGATAGCGTAGTTTTCGGACGCGAAACATTCTCGACAGTAACTTGCTTAAACCTTATCAATTCGCAGCAATTTGCGAATGTGAGCCGCTATAAACTATTTTTCTTCGTTCAGGGATACGTACAACACAAAACACTGAAGATCATTAGAATTTGTTGAATTGAGCCCCAAAGATCTTCTATATATACTGATTTTGCGCGGTAGAATTGATTCGAAAATATCCAGCGGCGTAGTCAGCTGGCAGAATAATTGGAAAAAGAAGGGGGGGGGGGGGTATTCATAATCGTGTTTAGTGATTCTAAAACAATAGATTTAAAAAATGATTAATGTAGAACACGAATATATGAATATGCCCCCGTCCTTCATTGTTGAGTTCGTGGCGCCATTGAATATTTAACGTGCATGAAAACCCGTTCAGCGAAAGATTTAATATTGCTTTTAGGATGACATATAAAGGTCGACACAGACCGGACGCGAATTGGCAACGCGGCGCGAATTTTCAACGTTTTTAATTTTTCAAAATCAAATAAATTCTAAACTGTCATAATATTCTTGTATATTACATAACAATAAAACATTTTGACTGCTCTAGCGTCCATAGTTTCCAAATTTTACTTCCAGAATTTAATTTATATGCTTCTGAAAACTCGAAATTCGCGTCGCGTTGCCGCATCGCGTCCGGTCTGTGTCGGCCTTAACTCTTTAAGACTTTATAGTTCTGCGGCTATATTTTATCGGATGCTATACATGTGCATGCATGACCTGCATACTTCTCAACAATAAGTACTAAAATTAAAAATGCAGAACAGCATTTTCGATTAATAAATGACTGTTTTGTGACTGAAGATTAAATGATATACATGCAGGATTGCAAGGGTCTTGAACAATTATCTCAAAGTTAGCGGAGCAGTTTGAAAGCTAGAAGAGTGTGTGTTGTATCACTTGTATGTTTAGATTAGATTAGATAGAAGAATACAGAAGCTCTGACTTCAGATATCCCAAACGTTTTTCACCCAGATATTAATTATTCTTCAAACGGGTGGTCAAGCAGTCCTTGACTTTTAGATTGCTGTTGTTCGCCATTCTCCTGATTTTTCATCTTTCGTATTGCGTTTGTAAACCTTTTGTTTCGTAAGCAATAGATCACGGGGTTTAAAAGACTATTTAGAAACATCAAAGTCATTGTGATCGGGTAAAAATACTTAAGATACAGTTTATCCCTGCTCTTGACCTGTGCATATACCACGCCTGCAAACATTGGCGTATAACAGACAACTATAGCGGCAATAATATAAAACATTGTTACAGCGATTTTATAATCGTTTTCTTTTGCGTTGTTTAAAGTTGATGCAGCGCCGTGAGATCGTAATCGTCCGTCAATCTTGACAGTCAAAATATACTTTTGCTTTCTCATTCTTAGTGTCATCAATATACCACAGCATGAAAACGCGGTCACGGCAATTGCGGTAAAAACGAGAATATTTATAAATGCGAAATAGGCTTTGTAGCTCAATACACGAATTAGGGAGCCGTTTAGCGTAAGCAGGAACGACCATAAAGCACCAACCGCTCTTTTCAGTCGTGTTTTTGTAATCCAACAACGGTGCTTCAGCGGGTAACAAATGGCGAAATACCGTTCCAGGGAAATAATAAGGCTCAAAGTCATCAACGATGCACCACCACAAAACTTTAAAGTTACACTGGACAGCAACGCTAGCCAGCATAATGGTTTGGCACCAAGAACATCTCTGACAAGAATGGCTATAAACAATGGCTGGGCTACGATTCCAACAAACAAATCCGTGAACGCGAGAATTATCAGTAACATGTTTGGTACGCTCTGGAGTGTTGTATTGCGAAAATATGCCATGATTACAGTAATATTACCAAGAATAATGAAGACCAGCAGGAATAGATTGACCACAATGAGAGGAATGTTGATGAAATGGTAAGACTCTGCGGGCCCAAACTGGTAAACTCTGTCAGGATGAAGACATGTTATGACAACAATATCACTGCTTAGATTCATTGCGTTGTTGCTTCACTTGATCTTAACCTCGGAGATATTAACGTCGGGCATATGAGTCTGCGTCCTGGTCGAGGAAATCGCAGTCAGTATAATTTTGCCGCTTTAGGGAGACAGCAAAGTGAACAAACTATATTAAAATTATCGCCTGTCCTTGGTGCCATGCACGTTTCACTTTGACACAACTCTGCAAAATTTGCATATTATGTTAGTGTAAATGCATGCCAATCAAAAGTCAACAATACATAAAATTGTCACGTATATTTTTTCGATGTTGACCAAAGGCAAATACCCTAAAAGGCACAAGCAATACATGCTTCGAAAATTTATACCTTATTTATAACTTATATATTGTCTAAAATACAGCTAAAATCAATGAGTATATATAGATATATATTCTGAGTCTCGCGGATTTTCCAGAAGATAAAGCATGCATGAGATCCTACACGAACGTCTCTCTTAGAAAAAGCCCACAAGTATCAACATGAGTTTTCTTGGCAATGAATATGAAAAAATATATCCGTTCACAACGCGCCCATCATTTTCGGTTTCATTTTAAAAAAAGCCAACAACTTTCGCAATCGATCCCGCGGCAACCATAAAGTCTCGGTTCAATCTTTTATTTGTAATTTGAACAGCGGAGACGTTTTAGGTTAAACAATTGTATTCATTCTATGCATTCAGCTGCGAGAAGTTAAACGATGCGTTGGACAAGGAGAATGCAAATTAACTATCGTTAAATGAATAATAAGTTACAGATTACCGTTAATTTTCCGATTACCATTCAATTTCAATATTTTCACTCAAAGTGCCGATTAATCATTAAACAATTATTGTTTACTGGAATTTGTTATACATATATTGAATGCAATTGAGAGAATAGAAAATGAGATATGTCAGCTTCATGCATTAACCTTGATTATCATCTATCTATTGGTACTTCACTAAAGCCTGGTTTCCATATGACGCTGACCTGTCGCCGACTCCAAGGGAAAAGACAAAAGATTTCACTCATCAATAATCACCGACAATAATACTTTGCCGACGTCGGCATCATATGGAAACCAGGCTTAAACCTGGTTTTCATCACTAGTCGTCGATCTCTATTAATTGTTCGTTTGTTACCGATGCATATTTTTCCGTAGAAAACGGGCTTGAGCAGTATTATGTCAGGCTAGCTGAGGCCATTTTGTGTTCAGCCACAAGGCGAACCTCCATCCGCATTGATGACCATTGACCGATAATCGCCATCGCTTGTGATTACGATTTATGACAACTAGGTATATAGGTGTACAGGGTGGTTGCTCTAAGTCTCTTATAACGAATTTCGTTTTTGTTTTCCGGCGTTTTCAAATTTATCCACTCCGGAGAGCGTTTTCAAATTTATCCGTGGGCGGAAAAGCCGGATACGTGTGGACGGAAGCCGTAACCGTATAAATATTTATCCGTTTTCAAATTTATCGGGATACGTGTGGACGAGGCCTTACTTCATAAAGATCCATTAACTTTATAGCTATGGTGTGACGTAGTACGTTTTTAAGATGTATTTCGAATTCGCTCTTTAAAATGCTGAGAAAATCACAAAATATCCCCAAAACACTGCGGCACAATATCTTTAAAAACACTGATATGGATAGATGTGTTTAATCATCTTATCGCATATAGACAATCCAGAAGACAATATTGACAATACTGTCTTCTGGATTGTCTATGATTATCGTTTATTCACGGGCCCCGTTTATTCCCCGTCCTTCTTTTGGCACGATGCCAAAAGAATTTGAAAACAGAAGAATACTTTTACTAGTACTCGTACCGCCTATATGTATCCGGGTGTGAGGAAAACGTTCTCCAGAGTGGGAGAATTTTAAAACGGCGGATGAGCGGATACGTGCATGTGCTTTCCACTGTCGCGTTTTTAGCACGTACGTGTAGTTTTGATTATGTAGTTATGATTAAGTGAAATGAGTGAAATATTTGCCAAGTCGCGCGTGTTATACACGCGAGTCTTCTGATCACAGTCGATATCATATCACTATATGACAAATCGGTCTGCCTATGATCGATCTCTATCAAAACTGCTGTAAATAATGTAGTATAACAACTAAAAAAAAGGGGAAAACACTTCTCGACGTTTCGACCTGAGGGCCTTCGTCAGGAGAGTTAGTAAGACGAAGGCCCTCAGGTCGAAACGTCGATTTTAATTAAAGTGTTTTTGTCTATTTTAGGCAGTTGTTATACCACATTTGGTCATTTTGGTGCTAAGTTGTTTGAAGACGCTGCCGCGCTGCTCCCTGGTTATATTGCTGTAAATAATGAGCATATTTCAAAAGCATATATTTGACGTGGCCAGGTCGCTAGATTTTGCAGGTGGAACGCGGGTATCAGTGAAAAAATCTTCCAGACTTTTCAATGTATTGCAATTAAACGCTAAAGGCAAACTCTAAAATCAAATAAAGGAGCTAGTGTATAAGTGACCTCCTCCGCAGGCATCTCTTATGTTATTAAAAAAATGATATTTGGCTTGGGTTAACCCATGCCTAATATAACTAATATTTAAATACATAAGAGATGCCTGCGGAGGAGCTATAGTTAGTGTATAACTATAAGGAGGCAACCCCATTTTACGAAATATCAACTTTTGAACTTATCAACATAAATTCATGCACCATAGGACGTTTCCCCTGTTTATTTCTCAGAGGATCTGAACTAATCTCACAAGTGGTTTTGAGGTTAACTTAAGGGGACAAGTCCTCACCAGTCTCGCCTCTAGGTCACTGAGGCTGTCGAGGTAACAATTAAGTGGCTTTTATGAATTTAGTAATTTGGAATAAAAGAACGCTGGAATGCCAAAATGAAATAATAATGGCTAATGATTAAGCTATGTTCAAACTTCGGTTCTAATGCAAATCAAGCCTGCCAAACGTGGGATCTTATTCTAGGCATTTGTGATGAGTCGCGTGATGCAGCATTTTACTTTCGTTACGGTCCCAAATTAAGGCTGAGACACACATTGCATGTGTTACTAAAGAGAAGTTTATTTTTTTGGATTTACACTTCTTCATATTAATAAACGAGAATATGTAGGTTTAAATTTATCGACTTTATCCTTACCCTGGGTAACGTCGTACCCAGCTAGGGCAGTTCTTTTTGTATTCTGGGCTGTTCACCCTTGTTTGATTAAAGTGTACTTGGTGAGATCACGAGTCGGATTCAACTTCGTGAGGATAAATAGTTGATATCATGATACTATATGCGTGTCACTATACGTATAGCAATGCTAACCGTACCCTAAGTCATACTATATGATTGCCTGACCATAGATAAGTTCACAATTGTGCCGTCTACATCGTGATTACCTTTCACGAACAATCTCCGAATAGCTGTCGACATATTACGATTACGCCAGCTATATATGAACGGATTACAGAAACTGTTAAGAAATACGCACGTGACTCCCCATGTCCACAAAAACTTTTGGTACACTAAGTTTTGTCCTTGAATTGAGACATAAAGAAATCCGCTGAGCATAGGTATCCAACATATAAACAATGAGCCCAGGACATAAAACATGGTCACAGCCGCACGAATTTGGGAAGGATTTGACGTCCACGACACGCGTTTGACTCGTGATAGCCCAGGCGATGGAGCAGTGCGAGACTTCATCGTTCGAATTTTTCTTGCAATTTTGATATACAAAAATAGCGAAGTTGCTAGGGATAATACGATCAGAGTAAGACCAAAAGGTTGATACACAACCCTTGGTATTCCTAATAGAATACTCAGAACAGCAATTGCAGCAGTTACCCATACCACAAGGATCGAGTAAAACAATTTTTTCTTCGTAAGCCAAGTGTGGTGTTTCAATGGATAAAAAACTGCGAAGTATCTTTCTGTACTTACAATCAAACCAAGCGTCAGTAAAGATATACCGAAGGAAAACTTTGTTGATAAATCGCTGATGATTTCAAGCAGGCAATCAATATTACCCATCATTTGTTTAATTTTCACCCAAACGAAAAGAGGTTGAACCAAGATACCGACCAGCAGGTCCGTGAATGCCAGAGCAACTATCAATAAGTTGCTTTTGGTTTGAAGCGTTCGGTTGTCATGGTAAGCAAAAATGATGCAACTGTTCCCGATTGTTGTCAGAATGGCTAGTACGGCATTTACTATGCAAGTAATGATGTCTGATATCATGTCCGTAGAGCTGTGGTTTCCTGTGTATTCGTGGAAGATTGATATATGTTGACATACTACTATATTACTTTTGTTCATTTTCATCGACATCGTCAGTATTCAACTATAGAAATAGAAATAAAAATGGAATATTATATCTTAGCAGCCATATTGAAATACATCATCCGTTGGTAATATCACGTTTTCCAGAGCAATCCTTCTGTCACATTTATCATTCTTATATTAGTGAGATGAATAGGAGCTTAGCATTTGCGTTTAGTATACGCCCGCAAACAGCGATATTACTTGTGCAATTAAACGTTTGGAATGAGCTTGCTATATTAAACTGCAATGTAAACTAGTACCGACCCCGAGCCGTTTTTAACTGAGTAATGAAGAAAAGTTTTATTGAGGTAAGAATTTAATCGAAAACTTTTCCGGGAGAATTAAAATTCTGATCAGCCCAGTTTTAGCTGCCGCATACTACTAAACAGGACTTGAAAGTTGAAACTTGCGTCTCACTTGATCAATCATTCAAGGCTATAAAATGAGGTCGGTCATAACTACATAAGTCATATATTCCTTAGCGGGCGATCGAATTGTCCATCAATATTACCTAAGCTACCTGTCTATGTATGTGGAGAATAGTTATTAATATTTATTTTCCAAGAGGTGATATATGAGATCGCAGATATTGCTTCGGCCCTGAAATGAGTTCCTTATTAATCGACCGTTATTGAAGTGATAATTTCTAACTCAAGCAGCATGTCATGAGAGCTTTTGTATTGCATGGGGTGCATATGATAAGGTTGAAAGTTAGCTATTCGATGAATAATGTTTCTCGCGTCTGAATATTCTGTCCCTGGCCGACACTATGTCTATATACTGGCACGTTATCACTATAATAGTGATTAGTGACTATAGCATTGAGGACTACCGAAAAATTCTTTTAATTTTTCATGTATATACACGATTTTCACACAGCTTTATCTTTGGGCTTTTCAGCCCTTTTTTTGGTAAAAACTCAACTTACTACTTACTAATTATGAAAGAATAAAATACAATAACATCTTATATAGTTATAACTTATACGTTCAGGAAGCGGTAACAAAAATATCGAAACTGAATTATAAAAAGGAATCTTAAGAAAACGTATATAAATGGTAGTAGTAACATAATTCTAATATAATCTCATTGAAATTTTTCGAAAAATTATATTAGTCATCGACTATAATTTACCTGTTATCGACTGTGTTCCAAAACAAAACAGAGCACGTCCTTGCTGTTTTTCAAACCTAAAAAAGTATATGATATGTGGCTAACAAATATAATATTGCATGTGCATGACCAGGCGTATACATTAGCCCGTTATTGTATATTAATATGACTCTTGATGAATTCGTTACTTTTAGTTGCAACAACTTAAACGACGCAATGAAATGGTAATATATGCTTTTTAGGCCGCACTGTGTTTATATCTTTACATGCATGCATGCATATTAAAGTCGGGAGATAAAATTTTAAGCCAACAGCAACGTAAAGTATTCAATTATTATAGAACAGGTGAACCATTTTAGAACAGGTGAAATTTGATAATATTGCACTCCCACAGACATTCATAGTCCTTATTTTTCTAAATTGCACTAGTCATTTCCATGCTGATCTGTTATTGGACGAAAATTGCCCGACAATAACTGAATAACATATTATACAATAAGCGTTTGTAACAGGCAGCTTGATTTTGTCATTTCGTTATAATTCGGTGTTTACTTCAGTTTAATCGATTTTGACACATGCAAAATGTTATAGATATATTTTAGATATATTTAAGTCTTCATTCAATTGAACGATTATATCGTTTACATGGTTTGAGAACTCCTACTTTGTGTAATTGGATTTCTACCGGTTTGGAATCGAGTAACGGTAAAGAAAATTTAGAAAATAACTCCAACCGTTTCTATTCTGACTGTTAACTGATTTGGTTGTAACTTGTGTATATATTTTGGACTTTTCATGTATTTAACAATCATCATGCGATAAAAAGTCAACTTTAATCATTGCGAATAAATTCTTCTCTATGGCATGCCTATCAGTAATATGCTCGCCAGAGCAATCAATTTCTGGGGCGGTTTGTACACTATACTAGACTGAAAATTCATATAGATTTTTTGAAGTTTATCAGTGAGGAATACCAAATGAGCAGAATCAATTTTTCTACTTTCGTTTCATCCTACTTATTAGTTATTACTGTTATCCTCACAGATAATAACAAAGAACAATACTACAAACTGTTACGTTTTAATGATTGAAAGTATTCTTCGCCGTTTATGAATTGGGACGATCCGTGGCAACTAATTGTAGCCAGCATTAAGAAAAATGAAAGATAAGCTCCTTACTTGGTGCAAACTTGGCCGTAAAGTTTATACTTTGTATTCTTGATATTCGGGTCGGGTTAACTGAGCTGACTCGTTTCTTTTACTAGCTCAGTCTGTTTCCCACTTGACGAATTCGTTCGCGCGAACGAACTTTTTCGCCTCGAATTTTTTCTCTAGCGGGCAGCCTATCACGTTGCTGGATTTCTCTGTAAGTGGAAATCCAGCCTCACTCGTACTCGTACTGTCGACAGTCGTACTTCTAGACTTGCGTGAGATGATGGGGCCAAGACATTCTGTTGTGGCCTAGGCGGGATTTTCGTCAATCTGCGGCTAATATAAATAAACCCGTTAAAAGCAGGGGCGGACCCAGCATTTTGGCCGACTGATGCGATGTTTTGAACCATACTTCAACACCTCTATGCATGGGGTTTATATTTCGGTATATTTGACCATGCATGCAAAAGGCGAATATACCATATTCCGGTGTAGTTGGAGGTCGAATATACTATTTTCCGGCACTATAGGACCATACCGAGGTCGAATATACCATATTTCGGTATATTCGACTATATCAAAGTTGAATATACCATATTTCAGCACTTTGAGCCGTATACCATATCCGGTATTTTCGACCATGTTCGAGTGTACCATATTCCGGTATATTCGACCATGGTCGAGTATATCATATTCCGGTATATTCGCCCATGCCAAGGTTGAATATACCATATTGAGGTATGTAACACCATCACTATTTAATCTAAATTACTTGTATTTTATATCCGAACACAAGATGAGTATTCATAGCGAACAATTATATACCGATAATTTTGCTTCTGTTTAAGTATGGTTTTCATATGTCGTAATTCATGGGATGGTCCACGATGGTCTACGATGAATGACCACTGACAATAACCATCGCCGATGAAAACCATGAAAACCAGGCATGAAAACCAAGCATGAAAACCAGGCATGAAAACCAGGCATGAAAACCAGGCATGAAAACCAGGCATGAAAACAAGGCTTTAAAACACCACGTGTGCTGTGTGGCTGAAACCCAGTTACCAACGCAGCTCACCTTTTCAATGCATTAGAGCCAACTTTTGGAAAGTTACACTCATCTAGTAAATTTTATAGATGAGTGGAAAAACCAACTCACCCAATTTACTTCTTTACTCGTGGAAAGTGGGTTACTTGGTTACTGGGTTTACTGAGTCATGAACACTGCTGATCTATATATTATTTATTTCTGGTTCAGGGGCTCATGGTGATGGCTACAGGTCAAGGACTGAGAACACTGTGATAATTTACAATTACTGAACGTTCTATAAAACAACGACGAGAATCTTTGATCTTTGATTACTTGAAAGTGAAGTGAATTACTAGTCACTACGTAGTACGTTCCACAACTGTGATCAATGAGAGACTGCGAAGAGTAGCTATAGCAATGACTGCATTAGATACTGTCAATGATATAGCTGCATTACTAGTAAAGTGGGAAGAAGCAGAAAGACAACATATATGTCCCATTGAAAGTTTGGAGAGGTTGTATCACTTGCTTTAAAAAATATCGATCCCATAAATAACACTATATACAACTGCGTAGATGAACATATTATATTGTATATGTTAGTTTAACTTTGGAGTGTTCAATAATTGGAATGTGGGGTTTATATCATAATATATGACCAAAGCCTTATATGCGGGCGTCATATTTACAGATATGCCAACTGTAATAAAACTGAATTGTTAGAGAAAAAAAAAATGAAATGTCTAGCCACTGACTAATTTCAGTTATTTCACCATTGACTGCACCAAAGAAGATTATGTACAACATGTGTCATCTCTATCATGCTGATAATATTTATTTGCCTGACTGTTTATGTTGAATGAATTTTAAAATTCAGTAATCCTCCTCATCTATAAACTTCTTCAATGTATTCCATGAAATAAAATGAGAACACTTATTAATCAAAATAGTAGGGATCCATACATACATCCACTTGAATATATATACATATACATACACTGGACATTCTAAATTGTTGTGAATGACCAACTTATGATCCATTACATACTTCACTATATTTCAAATCATTAAATGAAAATGATATTCATAGGATTGCTGATGTTGTTGAAGCAGAGTATGAAGCATTTTTGAAATCAGATCCAGATCCATTTGATGACAGACATCCAGGTATATATTATGATAATTTTCTCACTTGGTTTGATACACTAGAACAATTGGATTCCAGTAGTATTCCTAATTTGTTTGACTTTGCATGAAACGATTTCTTTTGTTACTGCTCATTATGGTTTTGTTCTCTCATTTGTTTTCATTTGTTGACATCATCATTGATATCAAGCCATGTTGCACCATAATTTTTAGATGCATGCTAATACAGCAATTAGCAACCATCATGTTGTGTGATTAAATTGAATACCAGTAAACTGTTGACTTCTATGTTTCTTATGAATTGTTATCACTTCCTCCTGTGAATCAGTACTTCTTTCCTAGGTCACTAGTACTTTCCAACTAAGTTCAATTAAGGGGCAGAGAGAGAGGGAGAGAGAGAGGAGAATGAGGTTACAGGAACTTAACAGAATCTAAACAATTAGGAATTTTTGCCCCCAGATTTAAGGAAAAATTTATATTCAAAATGTATCTCCCATCAATCCACCTCCTTAATTAAGAGCCCAGTTGCTCAGGCTAACTGTATCTGAAAGCCATTGTGATTTATTCTGTCTTTATAGAAGGGCCACTGGTTTGCCAGTGCTAAACTGTTATATGTGTTACCCATATTAAATATAAAGTCGATTATTATTATTATTCTGTAATCGTTTTTGCAGATTTACAACTATTTAGTCATTAGATGAAAGTGTTTCGATTGCTGCCTTGCTTTCTAGGGCGTAATGATCCTTTTTGCACATATGCTCATGTGTTGAAATGCTTGAGTAAAAGTGACAACTTGGTAGAGATCATATTAAACACATATCTTATGGCTCCACGCTGGGATTTCAAGCTATGTTGTGTTGCAAGTCGTTTACTTTTTGATCTTATGTGCTGTCTTGAAATGGAACAGATCTATCAAGAGACGGTAAGCTAACATAACATCAAAGGTTGATCATAGTATATAAGTGACTGATGTTAGATAATACAATGTCAGTATAGCTATAACCTGACATAAAAACTTGACCACAGTATAAGTGACTGAGATTAATAGATTGTTAGTAATATTATAAGCTCCCTCGAGGGTGATTTTAAATTAACTTTTTAATTTCCCAAAGACGTCCGTAACTTGTAGAATTAGGGCCGGCTGATTTGGACTAGGCCGTCCTTAGTGTTTATCACGTGTACAATTAAGGGCTGGCAAAACTATACAGCCTTACAGAGTTTGCCAATTGGTTTGATTCGCATCTTATTGAATGCATAATTTATTAATCTTTTATCATTTCGCGCCGACATGATATGAATCAATGCATAATTTCGGATTTCGCGGCGATCTTTTTTAAGTAGAAATTTATTTAGCTGCTTGCCACCTTAGATTGTTGGGAATATTTGCCATGCTGTGTCACAAGCTGGTCATGAAATTTTTTTTCTGACAGCAATTGTTTATCATGATGTCCCAAATATCCAAAGTTCAATATCTCTGCAGTTAAATGAATATTTAGAAATTGATATTTAAAATGCTATTTATAAGACCCCGTTTACACGATACCGCCAGAGTCAGTTGAAAATAGTACGAAACTCCTAAACCCTTTTGTTTTTGCGTTCACATAATGCCAGTTTGAAAAAATACGAGACTGTAACACTAACCGTAACTAGGCGTAAGCGAAGTGCTAAACATAAAAGTTTGAAACCATAACGAAATTTTACGGTCAGAGTACCGTGTAACCATAAAAGTTTCATTACGGTGGTGCAAAATGTTTTGAACCGATCGAATTCGGATTTGAAAAAAGGTATTCAATAAAGTTGTTCTTGGATGCTATTCTGTGTACTTTATGTGTTGCTGTATTTTGAATAACAGAAATCGAATGAGACAAGACTGTCCAGAGTTTTTCTTTTGGGTCATGTACGTGCATTTCCAAGTAAACTTCCGTCGACAACAATTTAATGAACAATTCAATTCCCAAATCTCTGAATTTCCACAATCAACTTCTTTTTCATCCAATTTTTCTTCTCGTAATCTCGTTTGACCTGGAAAGGAAAGCTAATGGCGACGTCATAACGACTAAAAACGCATAAAAAGTTATTTTAGTTGAGGTAATTTTTATGTTAATTATAATTGTTTTAAAAATCTCTTCTCTGTTGAACTTTCAGGAAGGATTGCTTTTGAGGCTGTATAACTGGGCTGAAAACGGGGAGGAACCGTTACGATCTTACTCATTAGGTACGAAATTCACATTCAAAGTCTACATCACATTTATATCACTGAGTATGGAAATAGATACCTTTTGCATGTAAGAAGAGTGTAAGGACAAGCCTTGCTTTTTTTTATGATATGTCTGACAGTGCAATATTTTCAGGTCTACTTGGTATCGCAATGGGAATGCAAGATTTCACTTCCTCACACAGAGAAAATAATTCTCATCTCGTGAGTAAAAATCACACTGTAATGACTAACATATAAGAAGTTTAAAATGTGACATCTTTACATGCATTTATTCGATTACAAGCATACGCCAGGATTAGAATCGTATGCGACTAACCGCATCGTGTAGATCGGCCTTTAGAGGTTGTCCTAAGAGGTTGACGTAAATCTCAATGTATATTTGTCCAGGGGATAATGACCTAATATATATGATTTTGCCTGGATTATTGTCTTGAAATTTATGATAATATTTCAGTTTAGGGCAGATTTTCGTGAAAAGACACTTAATTTGTTTCGACGTATACAGACCCCCTACTGCAAAGCATTTCCAAAGTGCCGACTGTTACACTTCGTTTCATCGTGTTTTCCTAATCATATGAATTCAGGACTTTGGTTTTCGGTCGGAGGATTGTGCTATTCTTGAAGCTCTTCGGCTGCATTTCTAGCGTTGTCTGAGGTGGATCATCGAATTGAAATGCAATCCGTTAAATTGAACGGGCTTCCTTCCTCCCTCTTCCCTGTTTGCCTCATAACTGTTGTTCCGAACATTTGATAGTATTTCCGCTGTTTCTTTCACTTGAAAACATGACGTAAGCTAGGTGATAATTTCTTACTGGAAATCAACATGCACAAAAGTTCTTTTCATCGATAATTTCAGGTCCCAATCGTTATCAACCGATTAAAATCCTTGAAAGATTTAAGGGACTTGAGTCAGCCTGCTGTCAAAGAGTTTCCAAAACCAAAGGCAATATCAAGAACTAAAAATAATGGTAAATCAAATGGCGGAAATAAGAACAAGAAAGAAAGCATTTTGGACAGTTCTTCACCTGCAATGGCTGAGTCTTCTAGTAAGTCGAGTCAAAGCTCTGCCAGGAAAGGTAAGGATTGAAAAATGTCCGCAGAGAATTCGATTTTTCTGTGGTCACAAACATGAAACCTTCTTGTGAAATATACTGAAATCCATAGCCTGTATTTATTTAGAGTCAAAGAAAACAAGGCAGTTTTTAAAACCGTCGTCTTTCAAGCTAAGTCCACTCACACTGAGTGCCCAGATCAGACTGATGTTAAGATATCTTACGCCACTCGGAGAATACCAAGAGGTCTTATAATATTATATATTTTAACTTATAAATAATGCAATCAAAAAAGTTCAATCGAGTTTTCTCACTATAAACGCCTTATACACGAGACAATTTTGCTGCATTGCAAGGATATTTTCCACGCAGGAAGATACAGTTTGTATCAGAGTTCGGCCCATAGCAAATTTTATAATCGTCAATTAAGTGTTGTTTTTTAACTAGTTTCTTCAAGTTGCTTTTGAGTTGGACGTTCGAAGCATGGTGACACATTTTATTAACGTCAAACACATCGCAGAAGATGGCGTCATATTTCAAGCCCTTCAGGTTTGTCAATAATGAATAACATTATGCTCAGTAAGATGATAATTGGAAACTTTTCCGCCATTATTTCATCCAGCAGAAATATTGTTTTAGGAAATATTGAAAAAAAATGTGAAGTGGAAAAGTTAAAAGAATATCTTTTTATAATTTTGGTCTTTGATAGTATCTGACGTCGCTAATGTGCCATAAGAAATTTGCACAGGAATTTGTCAGCCATGGTGGAATAGAAAGACTTCTTCAAATTCCGAAACCGTCAACGTCAGCTACAGCAGTTTCATGTTGTTTTTATTACTTGGCGTACGTCGAAGACGCCTTAGAGAGGGTAAGAGGATTATAGATTTTGCACGTTGAACTCTGCGATATAAATTTTTTTAATTAATTCTACGATAAAAATGATGATACTGTAAGTGTAAAGTATCAGGATGTCGGAGTTACCGAACCAGTGATTGGGATCCTGAGGATTTCATTCTCTGCAGTTTTTCTCCCCCCCCAAAAAATCTCCTCAATAAAAAACCTCCTGTATCGGACGGAACTTCGACGTTCTTTTTAATAATATTTATAATAATAATAATATTTCACATTTATATTTCGCATATTCTATAAAATATTCATATGCAGTTTTCGCATATTCATTTGCAGTTTTCTCTTACAGATCTGTCTTCTCCCGCAACCAGTGTTGACGGAGGTCGTGAAGTATGTTTTGTGGTTGCTGGAGTGTTCACATTTTTCTGGCAGATGTCATGCTACGATATTTTTCTCTCTTACGTTTCCCTTTCGTGCAATATTAAGTTTATTTGATACAAATGATGGCTTGAGGAAATTGATTAACATGGTAGGTCAAGGTCGGACTACCCTAATAGGAATAATCTAGTGCAAGCCTGAAGAAAAACTGAATTCTTAGTACATATCTTTCTTCACAGCTCAGCACTTTGGAGATCCTGACGGAATCATCAGATGTGCTAAGTGATGATTATCTTTTTGACTGTCGTCAAACTGTGAAACATACTTGTATGGCTTTAAGACGATATTTTGATGCTCAGATCGCTTTGAAAGCTGACATCTTGAGACGATCTCTGGCGAGGTCCAAAGGGGGGTCCCCTCCACCTCCAACACCGGCATACAAGGTTGGTTGATTTTTCATCGGAGAGATGGACAAGGCGGATCTAACTGTAAAACCTCACCATGCAAACTAAACTAATTTACTTGTTAAGTCGCAACCCTACCAGTGTTGAGTCGCACAGAGATTCGTATGCTCAGATTCCTCATTGATCCATGATAGTAAAATTGAGTTGTTTGGTATCGTAAGGTAAAGGTAGTTTTATGCCCTTTTCTTTTTCAGTCGATGACCATAACGCAAACAAGTATGTTGGAAAATATTGAGCTTCTTTTAGAAAACTCGTATGTGATTTCGAAGTGGCCTTCGATTGATGTAAGCCAACTTGACTTTTGCACAAATAATACAATGTACCTGATGTAATTGATTTAATTCCCTATAAATCAATATTGTGAAAAATCTCAAACAAATTTCGGTTTCTCACTGGTTGTTCAAATTCTTTATTACTGAAAAGACGAGCAAGTTACATTCACTCAACCATATCTTTTTCCCAACCTAAAATCCTAACCCCAATTTTTGTGGCGTCGTGATATGGGCAAATAATTTGTTATCAGACGGTCATTTTTTTTCTTTCTTTTTTTTTACCCGTAGATGATGATGAATTTACAGGGATTTCCCTTGTTAATTCAAATCATTTGTCTTTCTGCTGACTGGAACAGTTATACAGCCAGGTGCACCATAGCGTAGCATTATAACAAATAAGGCAAACGCATTTACACTACGCACAATTTTAGGTTTGGTGCGGATGAATTTGTACGGATGAAATTTGGACCATCTATTTAGACAGTGCCAATTTCATCATTTTCAATTCTATCCGTACCAAAACTGAAATTGAACATAGTATAAACGGATAAAATTGGTACGGGTGAAATTTGACTAACTATTTGGCAGTTCAAAATTTCATCCGTACCATTTTTTTGGTGCCGTCTCAAAAATTGTGCGTAGTGCAAATGGGGCTTTAATGAACATGATTTCCCGTAAAACGCCAAATGCAAGCTTAACTCAGGTCAAGTTGCATCAACCCGCTTGACCAAAGCATTACGTTAGGATACACTTGTAAAGATTGCAAATGAATATTACGACTATAACCAACAATAAATCTAGCCTCTAATAATAGAATGAAAAAATAAATTTGTTTCTTTATCATTTATAGAAATGACGTGACAAGACTTGCTTTGGACACTTTGGCTGTCTTAACCGCTTGTCCGAAGACACAATTAGCATTGATTGAGCCTGTGACACTTCCTACTGGGGTAACTGAAATTGGTATCAGGTAGGGACCAATGCTTCAACCAGAGTGCTTCAACACAATTATGGTAAAATTGAGATGTATAATTGAAGGGGTGGGATGAGTAATCCTCTTGATTTGTTATTGCCTTCAGAGTTTTATTACGTGCCGCAGAAGGAGAACTATCATCAGAACTCGCTGCTGATGGAGAAACTCAGAAAGCTGCTTTACTTGTTCTGTGTAATTGTGTATGTTCATCTAAACAAAAGGTATATGATCGTGGTCAGTTACATCCACTTTAACTCTGTAATATTTTGAACATGGGTATATAAGTTGAGAAGGGTTGTTGAGCAGTCAAACTTAAAGATATCTACAAAACTAGTCCCCCCCTTCAACCATCTGCTCCCGCCGCCTAGCAAGCCTCTTCCTTAGGTAAAAAGCCGTAAAGGAAGTTCCTCTTTTAGGATAAGGATTGCTGTTTGTTCGTGTTAGAATTTTTGTTCACGATTTTTTTCAAGCAAGTAATAAACTTGCCTCTTAGGGGTCAAACTCGTCGACCGCGCAGAAATTATCCAAAGGCAAGCGCAGCCAGTCAAAAAATACGGATGATATCCAGCAAAGATTATGGAATTGTGTTCGAGCAAACAATGGTATCAGAGTACTTCTCTCGTTACTACTTGTAAAAACGCCAGTATCTGACGCGGACTCCATCCGTGCACTCGCATGTCGCGCGTTATGTGGACTGGCGCAGAGTGATGGAATTAGACAAATCATGAGTAAATTACCCATGGTTCATAGCGGGCAGCTGCAACGTGAGTAGAGAAAATCAGTCGACTTCTAGTTTTTAGTAGTTTTATGAATCAGAATGAGCTCACACTTCTTAATTGTAATCAGCTTGTTGAAAAACTGTGTAATTTGGCCCTTGTCAGTCCTTTGAAAATATAAATATTGATTCTTTAACACTAGTCATAACTTGGTCTTTTTATTCTCTTCTGGACAGTCTTAATGCGGGAGCCAATCCTCGCTGACAACGCCAACGAACATCGCACATTCTGTAAATACGTCTCGGAATTATTGGAAAGAGTTCTCGGAAAGGCCATTCATACCATGTCGTATTTTACACTGTCCAAGATAACAAAAGTAGGTATTTCAGGAGGAGTGCGCGGGTACAGGTCTACCAACTTCGTTTGAATCTTAGAATGTTGCAGATATAGTTTAGTTCACGTATTTGTATCGACTTGCATATTAATTCATGCCCTGTTGCCATTCTCGTCTCAATTGTAAAGGCTTAAAACTCATCAATCTCTCAAAACAGAAGAAGCTAATAATGGCGTATCATGCTTGCGATCAAATAAACTCCGCAATTTCAGATCCGAAATAACTTAATCGCTGTATATTCTAGGCTGATGTTGTTACTCAGACGAAGATAACTTATCCCGATCATGAACTTTTCCAACTAGTCTACAAATACTTGGATAACTGCGGTTGGTATTTTTTTACCGCAATCTTTCTATCCCCCTCCTTCCCCCCTGTTTGTTTATATTTACATGGGTAATTAAAGGAATACGTTGTGTTTTGAATTACATACAAAACTAAACCCACATATTTTACATATAATTTAAATAATGATAATTCATACGATGAGGGCAAAGCAAATGAGTTTCACTAGAGTTTCACAATAATATCCAAATGTTTGTTCGTTTACAAAACTCAGGCCTACGACAGACAGCTTCGACCTTAGCAAAGGAAACAAATCTTCCTTTGAGCAAAACATCTCAGAAACCATCTCTGCCAGTAACCCCAACACTACAAAGAAAGGTTTGATATATCTTAATTATTGACTGGTATACTATTGACTGCATTGCAGTCTGTTAAAAATAAATCATCTGCTTGAAATAAATTCATTCTTTTACGTTGGTTTATTATGTCGCTGTGCAGTCAGTAGAATTCTGTCCCATAAAATGGCCAAAAGATCTACAAGATACGACTTTAGTGACTTGTTCTTTTTGCACTTTCAGGTTCGCTTCAATGTATCACGTCCCAGTCCCCTTGAAAACCCATCTACAACTCTCACCCCCATTTCTTCACCGGGGGGGACGATAGTACATCGCTTTGGCAGCACAAACTCGAGTACGCCAATTCCCAAGGTATTTAGTACTTAATGATCCTTCCAAACGAGATTAAGAAAAATCTGTAGATGCAGTATTAGTCTGCCAAAGTTTTTGTGAGATTATCCATAGTTACATCCTTAGTTTTAAAGGATTTGCAAAAAATATTAAAAGGAACAAAATGATGTAAACTCGTTTAAGCCTGATGTAAACTAATTTAAACTGGACTCAAATCTATTTCATGGCATTTCCAACTGCATTTGATCACAGAAACGTTGACGGTATCCACAAGCCTATAAAAGCTGAATATTTTTTCCACTTCTAGCACAACCTTTCAGCAATTGCTAAACGTCCCAGTTCCAGTTGTCATAATCGCTCGCCATCTCCTCCAACACTGGATTCTATAGTGACGCAGTATCTCAGGAATCAACATGCAAAGTGCCCTCATCCTGTTTCAGTGTGTCCTCCTTTTTCACTTCTTGGGTAAAGTTGAATTGATTTTCTAAATTTTCAGATAGAGCTGACAATTGATGCAAAGGGAGGGCATGAGGCCATATTAAAGATATACGCTTGCATCCTCGGAAAGGATAAAACTGATTCATTAGTTGTGTTTAAAGATTGAAGGTTACATTATTCTCGAGATTTGCTGTATATACGAGGATTGCTCGTTTGTCATTACTAAAACTCTTACATTACGAAAATAATCTCTTGCTAGTAACCCAGTCTTTTACTGTTGAAGTATGATTGCATTTCGACCCTAACCACATTTTTGCGTTCTTCCTTCAGGCCTCATCGCTGTCCAGAGCCAAAGAGAAGGTGCCATGCTTCAATGAATATAGCGTCGAGACTGAGTGCTCATCAGGTATAATACTTCACGAATCATGTTTACAAGGTGAACTTTAATAAAACCTGGAACGCTAACTTCGCCATCTTTGAAGCCAAATTTAAAGGGAGTTTTTCAGAGATTTTGAACGTTTGGGACAGACATAGAGAGTAATTATCTAGGAATGTCTAGAACTATGTAAAATACAGTCATTCACTAATTTCCTATAAAAATGGAACGAGAAACAGAGTCAAAAACGCAATTTTTTGCTTCAATTTTTGCCTTCAGCCAAGTATTACGCTGAACTATAGGAAGTAGCGTTCCAGATTTTATAGTTCACTATGTTTATACTTTAATATTTTAGCTGATTGGAGGATGCACTCCCTTCGTCTGCCTATGCTTTGTCCTAATGAATATGATATTTTGTTAGGTGCGTTCAAATTATGGTGGCTACGAGGGCAACAGATTAAACAGACGATATTTATACAGCAGGTATACTTAGCTGAAAGGGATTCTGTTCTAACTAGACTATTTTAGGTTTAACGAAAGCGGCGTCAATTCCGAGTAATAAATATAACTACTAAATATGCAATTCTAGCATCTATTCGATTAATGTCGTTCTCGTGCCTTCCCTCGTAAAAGCCAGTCACATAATCTGCTATTTTAAGCCTTGAAGATTTCTACGCGTGGTTAATTTTTCGCTCAAAATGATCAGCAACTATGATTATAAATCTGCTGGATTTTATACCAAATCATTATGGCTTATACCATTGATCTTTCATTCTAAAGGTTTCGGTCCCTTCGTGTCCTGCGAGTGCTTGACGAAGCCAGTTATTACACTTGTGCCTCATTTCTGGTGAGTATTTGCCTTGAGCACGGTCGTCATGCTAAATTGCGTTGAACATTATCGTGTCAAGGCCCGTTTACACTTGCAACTTCGGCTGTGGTTTTCGGGGCGATTTTCGTCTTTTGATGAATGCATGTGAACGAGTAATTAGTTACAAATGAGTTGATACACAGGAGCTTTTACTTCAATATCTGTAACTAATGCACTTGTTCACATCTATCAAACGAAGAATATCGCACACAAAATCGCAGAAAAAATTGCAAATGCAAACAAGCCTTAATAATTCAAAGTGCTTTAATAAGGACTAGTAATTTGGTGGGTATAATTTGTGAGTGTAAAAAACGTGAGTTGCATTGGGAACTTTTTTATTAATTTGTGCTATGGATGCTCATTTTCTTGTTATACATTCAATTCTATGTAGCCGAATTCACAAGAAATTTTAATTGGAACACAGGCAGGGGAAATCAAAGTGTTTAACAGCAAAACGGCTGAGGTGGTGTAATTAAGCAATGTTATAGACTTGTAAATCAACAAAATATGACTTTGAACTAGCCCCCTCCGCAGGCATTATATTAAAAAAATGCATAACCAATGCCTAACATAAATACATAAGAGATGCCTGCCGAGGAGGCTAGCTTTGAACCATTTGCGAGGATATGCACGTCCGGTATCTTTTATAGTTATTCTTAAGAATGGAAATTCTGTATTGAATCATTAATTTGTTTTATACTTGCGCGAGAAGACTAGCTTTTGAATTTGTCTTCACATTTCTAGCCTAATCTATTCAACTGTTTACTCCGCGCCATTTTAAATTTGTATAGTTTATTCCTATATAAGGCAGTCAATTGGAATAAAATTATTAAGACAATCTGGTAAACTGTAATCATGCATTGCTTCCAAGGACGTTTCCTGTGTCATGCGCAAATATATTTAGCTGTACGCATATATATTTTTATATTTTCCCTGCTAATTTATATTTTTTAGTGCTTGAGGAATCACAATTGTCATCGTTCCCACATTTCATCATGCATCCCATCAAATGTAAGTGTCGCCTTTTATAGCGAGATTTGATATTCCTAGTCGAAAGCCTCTTTTTCAATCATCACACAAATTGACCTATATTCGCCAATTTTCTGCAAACGTTTGTATCAAAATGCAACACAAAAGCATTTTCATTGGATGAAAACCCTTGCAGCGAGCTTGTGAACCATTGTGATAAAGAGTCGTGTAATAAGTGAAAAGGGTGGTTCACATGGTTATTTTATTATCAGGACGGTCAATTATTGCTGACGTCATCACCGTTTGGAACACCGCAGTCCACTCTATGGTCAGTTGGTGAACAAAAATTGGATATAAAGTAAGGCGTGTGGATACAAGATATATAGATTACAAGTTTAGTCCTTCCGTTCATCGTGTAAATGGACCTGGATTGAGTATCAATTTTCTGGAGGAACCGAAGGGGTGAAGGCGATCTACAGGATATAGTCATGCCGTAGATCATCACGTTCACCCTTTCGTTACTCCTGAAAAAATAATACTCAATCCATGTCAATGGATTGTAGGCCAAGTATCAAGTTTCTTGGCCAATGAATGCCCAGCAATCGTATTTTACTCTGTAGGTTAAATTTTTCTGAGGCGCGACATGTCAGGTTTAGTAATCAGGGTCTGACCAGGATCATTGGTACACGAGGATCGTCTGCTGATGTAAGTCTCTGAATAAATGTGGAATTTGGTTTTGAATTATAAATGGTTTGAATTACGTACAAACGTGTGATGCCACGCCAGTAATCGTAAACGTAATTACGTAAATCACAATCAGCTTAAATTCGGGTCGTAGGGATCAATCATTAAAAATTATCAAGGACGTTGACGTCTCGTTAGACGGTCTTTATTCTGGAAGTCATGCATAACAAGTCGAATCGGTCGAAACGACATTAAAAAAATTACTTTTTCTACTCTGATTTAACCCTAAATTGCTTGTCTTAGATTTACGACTTGGGAACAGGGCAAAAGATCACAACACTATCAGATACCAAGAACAGCAACAGCTATCTCAAAAACATCGCGACATTCAACTTGACAGATGAACTAGTTTTAAACGATGGTTTATTGTGGGATGTCAGGGGAAGCAAGGTTATTCACAAGTTCGATAAATTCAATAACTACGTCAGTGGAGTGTTTCATCCTTCGGATTTGGAAATCATCATTAATTCTGAAATTGTATCTTTTTACATGTGTTGCAATCGCTACGCATACGCGATTGAAATTTGAGCTCGTTCAAAGCTTATCTCATTGAAATAGTCGTAATAGTAACTATATTAGATACAATCAGCTATTGGTTGGTAAACGATAATCATATCCTTTTAATGGTTACGCACCCGTTTCGTATTCGACGAACGACAGAACTTTGAAAAATTTTGTAATTTTAAACTTGCCTATACTTTAACGTAACTTGAAAGAAAGCCTTCCAAGTAAATGTGTAGCGTTTGGTAGAGAATTCTATTTTGATTTTACTGTTCTCATTCTTTAACTGTTTAAAAGTGGGACCTCCGTTCTTTTCACCTCCTTGATACTTGCCCATCTTTGGATCAATGTCGAATTACATTCAATAGCAAGGGAGATGTCATATTTGGAGGTAAGTTTAAGATACCCCGGGCCGTCGCTAGAAGCTTGATTGGGGGCCGTCGCTAGAAGCTTAATTGGGGGCCGTCGTTAGAAGCTTAATTACACTTACATTTTGAAGACTCTTCAGTAATTTACATCTCTTACAAGTAGAATTGCATTGCAAGTTGCAAGAAAAATTGCACCGTGTAACATGGCCTTTATTATATGACCTTGATTGTTAACCTGCGAGCAGGACCCTAACATTCCTCTTAAATATGAACTTGTTGTAGAATCATTAATTTTTTAAAGTCAATTTCTTATAGGAGAAGCATTTAAAGTTGTATATTGTTCTTTATTTACAGTAAGACATGCACTCCCCGCTGAAGGAACGGGGCAATTTGAATCTTCGTTCAAGACAATTGATGCGCTGAAGTTTCAACAAATTGGTAAGTTTAAGCCTTTTTTTGTGTAGCAGCGAGCTCCTCTGCGGCGAGAGCGTGCATCCAAAAGCGAAGTTGATCATGATGCAAATAGAGATGCATCTTTTAGAAATCCTTTTAATCGATTTTTACCACGTTTTGCGAAAGACAACATTGCAATAGCACTTAATAACAGCATGCGTTTATATATATATTTTTTAAATTTAATAACTTGGTTTGTGATATAATATGTTGGAAAGTACTAGGAATATCGGCATCTCACGTTCGTTGTTAAAAGTGAGGATGAGAGCGAAGAATAATGAGATGGAAAAGAGCCAACTTTCATGTGTATTATTCAATCCTCGGATATCTTTGAAAGTTCTTTTATTTTCTGCTAGCTACGTACGATGTAAAGAAAGCGATCTATAGTTTGGCCATTGATAAAACAGACACAACGCTGGCTGTTGTTGAGGTTAGTCTTAAATGGACATCTTCCCTTCTTGTCTAACCTTCCCTTCTGGGGACTGATCATATTATATACATGATACATCGGTCAAAACTGAGCAATATGCAACACAAACTGTTTTACATTAATCCCAACGAGCAATATGCAGAATATAGAATATAGCCCATTAACATCTTAAATGCTAAAACCTGGACACTCTAAATTTCTTAGGGATCATTCAGGGTGCCTTGCACGGTGCCAAGAAACGAACCCTATACAGTTTGAGGTGTTATTTGACAACTGCACTGTCACAATTTGTTTTAATAATCTCGTACCTTGTCTAATCTCGTCTCAATTTGTTTTCATCACATGCATTACCGCCTGCCTTTATTAATTTTTGTCTCATTTTTTCAGAACCAAGGAAGCGAAGATTCGAACGGGGAGAGTACCTGTAGATTGTATGAAATCGGAAGAACAAAAAGGGAAGATGAAGACGAGGACGAGGACGAAGAAGATGAAGATGAAGCTGATGACGACTTAGTAAGTAATTTTGTTGTTTTCATCTTCCATTTATGAGAAGATTCTTCATTTTCTGAAAATAATAAAAATTGTTCACGAATAGCAAGGTTTAATTCTAATTGTACCAAAACACGTACGGCGCACTGAAGAACGAACGAGCTCTGTATTTGCTGGATCATTTTGTTTTCTCTCCAGGAAAGCCGTGATGATGACGACGACGATGGTGATGACTTGGCAGATTTCATTGTTGACGATGACGAGAATGAAACCATTGAAGTTCAAGATCTGATTGAAGATATGTTCAGACGTGATTTTGACGAACATTTCAATAATGACAGAGCCGATATTGATGATCACATGGACGATAATTATGATGATGACGATGATGATGATGACGATGACGAAGACGACGATGATGATGATGATTATGATGACAGTGAATTTGATGACGATGTGCGATTTCTTTTGGCTAGTGACTCCTCAGATGATTCTTATTCAGAGATGTCAGAGTAATCACGTAAAAGGTACGAGATTGTAAATATATTTTATCACATATACTGGGTGTCTCAAAAGAATATATCGATGTTTGATTTTAGCTGGGAATAGCTTAACTTCATAGTTTTGAATTCTAAAGAAAGGAATAACTTGAATTTGACGTTCGGCGCTTAATCTTTGACTCAAATGACATATGTTGGTCGAATGTTCTAATCTGAATTTCGATTTAAAAATTAGCAAAGAAATTATTCGATGATTACATATGAACGGCATGCTGTCTCGATCTTTTACAAGTGAATAAATTGATCGAGCTTTTCTAAGTGAATAAATAATTTAATGTGTAAATATCTTATCGTGCTTTTTGTTAAATAACAAGTTAAAATTACATGTTCATTAAATATAGACCAACTTATGGTAATTTTGAACGTTTTGAAATCGATTTCACATATCTTCACGTCATATTTTAAGTTGGCCTTTCAAAATTATTATTTTTTAACATGCATATATAGGTTTTTATTGAGATTGTAAGTACGCTAGCTGTCAGCTAAATAAGTTATATAGACTTTTGGTATTCACGCCAAATAATATGACGGCAATGCCATTGTCGATGCGCGGTTGTTTAGACACAGGACCAACCACTTGTCTATACATCGGTGCATGAAAAGTGGACAAAAAAATTTGACAGTAGCGTAGAAATCCACCTGTATACGTTTTCGCACAGGTGGTTTGAGATTATAACATAGATAGAAACCTATTAAAAAGGCGCCTGAAAGTACAGGAAATGGCTCCAATATTTTTAGAGTTTTTTTTGAGAGTGGGGATGGTAGTTTCCCAGTTGTGCAAGTGCTTTCGCACATAATACCGAGCCCACCCCTCGATCCCTACTACAGAATGTATCTTCCTACGCCACTGTATTCAGTCGTTGCATAAATACCAGGTGCAAATGGTATTGCACAACTGAGGTCAGTTGTATAAAGAGGTGGTTAACTTCTTACTTTACATGCAGTTGGTGACCTTTTTCATAATGACGTCAAACGCAGAAAGTCTGATGATGTTGTAACATCAGACTTTCCGTTTCCGCGTTTGACGTCATTATAAGAAAGGTCCATTGGCTAATCAGAATCGTGTATTTTGTCATTGACTACGATTCAACTACCAAAAATATAGTCAAGAGTATCATACAACCGGCCCCAGACAAATGTTGGTGCATGAAAATAAACAAAATCTTTTAACGTATTCTAACCAATGTCGAATGTAGACTATAATCACCAGGACCATTATTGAAGTTCATATCTTGTGATAAGTTTTCTTCACAGAAGCAACCAAGCATCATGCCTAAATTATTCTCCACGCCATACCTCGCGCGGTATTTTCCGCTGACACAATTACTCACGGGTAGATTGTCGTTGCAAGACTGATCTCTCTTTTTTTGGACGATAAAATCTATAAGAATGAAACGAAAGAATGTGTAATGAGAAGGTTAGGTCGGTTGTTTTAATCGACGGGTTATTTAGAGTTCGTGCCCAATCAATAAAAAAATAGGAGCCAATATTTGGACTCCGAATTTATCTCGTAATTGGGAATTACAAGCGTAGTAAAATATCTTATATCCACTACATTCCAAACAAGAACGTTACAATTTTCAAACAATGCCGAGTAGAAGGTACGAATGTGGTGTCATTATTTCAAAGATGATGTCAGAGATTCCAAAATATAAAGCTGCATGGTTGTTGACGGGAGTAAGTTATGATACCAGCTCCTCTGAGCACTTGAATGGCTTAATTGGAAAAATCTTGAAAACAGATTTAGATCTATAATAAGGCGTTTCTGGTATACAATATCCTTGTCTTCGAGAATTGTTTCCTGCATTCACGAAGCAATAATGAAAATGACTTACAGATCTCTCACTTCTAAAACCTAAGAAAGAATTTCTTAAAAAGAGCTTTATAGGTATAGTGAGGCTGTACTGTGGAATAGTCTTTCTGCTGAGGCTAAGTCTGCTCATTCGATTTACTCCGTCTTATATACCTATTGTTATTTAACTTTTAAGTATACTCTTTATGTTCTGGATAATCTTTTGGTTGTGTTATATAATTAGTTTTTTCTTCATTTTTATATACCTGTAAATAGCTAAATAGACGCTCCTCATGAAAACTACCATATAGCTGGTGAGGATAGCGTCTCAAAAGAAATTTTACATACATACAAGTATATATACACTAATGCAGCAGTGCAATGCACTAACTTGCTAAACATACCTGCTGAGTAGGAACCTAAACTATATATTTTCGTCACATCTCCTCTGAGCGTATTTGTAAAACGAAACCAACTCACTCCCAAACAATTCATTCCCATTATCCTTCGTGACATTGCCATCAAAGCTGGCTTTGGAAGAGCTTTCCACCAAAAACTAAACTGGGTAACCGTTCCATTCATAGTTTCATTTTTATCACCTAGAATACAACAATGACCGCGAGGTCGTGTTAAAAGTCTATTTGGCATACGTTAAATGTTTTAAAATGATTAAAATTATTGTTTTAAAAGAATTAAGGTAGTATTTTAACGAAAGTGGTGAAAGTGATTCTCCGATAGGCCGTATACATGCACTACAGATGTTGCGTGGTATCAAGCAATGAAATGATTTAAAAACAATTCCAATAGTCTATTTGCTTCGTTTCAGGTGCGAAATCGAAAAGCAAGAATGCTTTTCGATTATTTCACAGCAGTGAAAGTCGTTCCAAGCCAAAACATGTAATCAGTAAATCAATATACGTGCATGATGTCAATAGCAAATACTGCTATTCATTGGCAGGAGTGCAATTTGATCATTGTCGCACCCTTTGGGACCGCTTTATTTATTGTTCGGAGTACTCCAGATTTCAGGAGAAGTCAGTAATGGAGTGGAACAAAACACTGTCACGTGAAAGTTCGGAACTGTTCTGATTACCTCTACTTTTAAGTAGGGGCGGATAGAACACACACAACACGTGACACATACAATTTTCACGTGTTTGAAAGTGATGGTATAACAGATAATGTGTTTAACCGTGTTGTATCTTCGATAAAATATAATAATTCCAAGTTGAATAAATTGTACTTTTATCCTTTTTTGAGGAACTAAAAAAGATTCATACATGCATTCGTACTATAACACCGAATTGTTCTCGCCTTCGCACGATAACCTGTAGGCTATACTAATTAACTAGTTCATAAATTTGCTTAATAGCCTAATATTTAGAAATGCTACTTTCCCGTGGGGTTTAAGCCCGCCGCACTCGAGAGAAACTTGCCTCTGGAGGCTAATAATAGCTCTCGTGTACGAGGGGCTTTAAGTGGAGGGAGCCTTATGATATTGATAAGAATAGGGTGAGGTTCTGATAAATTTTGTAAGAAAGGGGTTGTTGATCTTAAAATGAATCTAAAATTGAATTGTTCCTTCTCTTTTTTAAAAAAAGACTGGAAGTTATTAGGTTACCTCCGATCATGAATTTGTTACGGGAAGGATAGTAGAGTCCTTTGAATACAGAGCTGACGTGATGACGCTCTCCGTTCAAATACGTGTTTACGTCGCCACTTTCGGACAACCAGGTCAGAGCCAGGTTTTGCCAATAACCGATGGATTGAAGGGAGATGTTCGCAATTCTAAAATAATCGCGTCATAACCCCGATCACTCAACATCAAGGCAAGTGATCGGGGCACAAAGGCGTAAAGATGGATATGAATACACTTGCTATGATACACAAGATACACATATGAATACACAAGCTACCTTGCGTTTTTACCATCAAAGTAGAATGTTATATCTCCGTCAGATTTGATTCTCAGTAACATGAGGGGATTAGGTTCTGCTCCAATTAACGTAAACAGTGTCACTGGTAACTGCTTCAATTTCAGCCACATCGATATGGTCATTTGTTGCCCACTGTAGCAGCAATACGACGTTAGGGCATACGCGGGCGCGCTTCCTTCGAATATTAGCCCATAATTGTGTCGTCCAACTAAAAATTGACAAAAGCATACGGTAGATTCTTTATTAAAAGAAAGTGAACCTCCACCCCAGGTTGTAAGCTATTTGCGCGAAGGTTGCATGTCAACTATTTGCGAAAAAGCACCAGCACAAATATGTGATAGTTAAAGTCATAGTTTGTATAACCGACTTGGAGGGCAGGAATTTATGTAATAGTTGCGCCGATTGAGATTTTTGGGGAGATCGGGATTAAACGATGAAATGGGGACTGCAACAAGGTTATTAAAGAATTTTCATGTGACCGAACGATCAAAACGGCGAATGAGACTTGTGAAATGAGGCTCAACAACGCCAACAAAAGAAATAAAACTTTTTATTTATTTTATACTAAAATTCACTTTCTTTTTAATATATATTGCCCCCATGTAGCCGATTTAGAAAATTTTATAACAAGAAAACAAACTTTTGTTCAAGCATTAGATATTGCTACAACTTTGGATTGTTTGGATTGTTATTTTCCATTTCGACGTCTTTAAAGCGTTCAGTTTTGCAATTTATCCGTATTCTATAGAGTTTTGTTTTCAAAAATCTATAGCAAGTAGTGGACGGACAAGAAAACTTAGCGCTCTAAGGGAAGTGAAGGGTTTGTAGACAGTTTTTTACAACGTTTTAAAACGTAAAATGGACTTTGAGGTATTGAAATGAGTAAATATTACGATTATGCGGTAGTCGTGTTAGCCCCGTTTACACTACACTCGATTTTCTGGTACGGCACGGCTACATTTATTATTAAACTGCAAACATTTATGATTAAACCCCCCTCTGATATGTTAGCCTGTGTTATTTCTAGAGACGGTTCATGCCTTACTTGGTTGAGCTCGGAAATTTTGGGTATGATCGTGGACCTTAAAATTTTTATCTGGGATACTTGACGGTTGCTTTAAGTCCCGCCACGCAACAACATTGCCCATATCATTTCCTGGTTCAGCTATCATCATGTGTAACATCTCATCTGAGAGAACCTTAAGATGAAAATAACACAAAGATCATGACGGTTTGACAAAACTATTGAATCTACTAAACTGGAGGTAAATGATATAATACAATCAATACACATAATGTAAAACACTCAATACATGCATGATGTAATGCACTCTCAATACATGCATGCATGTGGTAATGCACTCAATACATGTATGCACTAAAAAATTGGGTACGGGTACCAATTTTTGCCGTGCCAATAAATTGATCGCAATGAATTATACATCGCAATAAATACATGTATGATGTAATGGAATCAATACATACATGTATGATGTAATTAACTCAATACATTTATGATGTAATGCAATCAATACATGCATGATGTAATTAATACAATTTATTGATCAATACAATATTATAATACAATATTCCATAATTGATGCAATCAATGCATGCATGATGTAATGCCCTCAATACATATACATGTATGATGTAATGCATCACTCGATACATGTATGATGTAATGCAATCAATACATACATATATGATGTAATGCACTCAATACATGTATGATGTAATGCAGTCAATACATGCATGATGTAAATGTAATTAATACAATTGTACGTGATGAAATCATGCAAACTAAATCAAAATTCGAGAGAACTGGACCATTACCTTGTCCCAAACATTGAAATTATGAATGATTCCAATTAAGTTTCTATTCTCAATTTCAGAGCCGCCGACAATAAATCGACTTTGACCAGATATTGTCCCATTTATTTCGATTCCGGCCATTCTCGATTGCAAAACACCATTAATGATTAGTTCAAAAATCCCTCCCTCTCCTGTCCATGTCATCACCACAAAATTTGCTTCATAATTGAAAATAGGGATCAGATCCACAGAGAATCTAAATTTAAAAAGTTGAAGACTTCAAAAACCGCCCATTGCGCATCATTTGCATGCACTATAGTATATATCGACCATATGATTTTATGTACAGTATAGATACTGCTATTTTAGTAGCAGGTTTTCCCAATTTCTGAAGTGTGGGTAAATAAAATTAGAATTTGGTCTATTTACATTATAAGCTAGTGCATGCACAGCAGACGTTCAAAGGAAACAAGCTTTTATATCTTCTAGGTTTTATCGGCTATCATAATCGAAGGACGAAAGCTACCTTTCGCTAAAGGTTGTATCCCATTACATTCGCTTCACCTGCGCTGGTGAAGCGGCCTTTGAAATTCTGCTCAGCGCGGCTGTGACCGCGCGGCCTACTGAAAAAACGCATGAAAAAAAACAGGGACCAGTTGTACGAAAGCTGAATAGCACTACGTCAACCGCTCGTTGTTTAGAATTACCTGGATTAAACTTGGTATTTTTATATTGGGGTTGTCTTTAATAATTGTTAGCTCCAAATCTGCGATTTCATTGCTTTTCAAGCATGTTTAAAACGGTTTAAAAAATCACTATCGGATGGCCTAGCGCTATCCCGCTTTTGTACAACCGCGGCTCCACATTATAAGCCAAGATTTCTCATTATTATTGTCTTAACGCGTTATACGATGTAATAGTCTATAACCGAGTTTGAGGTAACCTTGGTTCGTTTTACCGCTGCAGGGCGAATTAAAGACTACAAAAGGGTGCTATATATATTTCATGCCTGAGTCCTGCATGGACCGGAGGTTTTGTAGAATAATAATTCAAATCATCCAAAATGGCTTTCGGTGCCCAAGTGGCAACAAAGCAATATATCCACGACAATCAACGTATTAATGTTTTTATACATTTTTAACCGAGCATTTTCATATACGCCCGCTGGACCATAGGCGGCCCAAAATTGCGCGATAAATTTTTCAGTAATAAATTTCTCGCGCAATTTTGGGCCGCCTATATATAGATATATTTTGTTTTTTAATTCATCAGCAGGAAATGGCCTTTCTCTTAATCGATACCTCCAGAAAGGTGAATAAGGACGTTCATAGCCACATAGTCTTACCGTGCTGATTCTATGATCATTTCCATTGTTGAATTGGCATTAATCACAACGGATAGACGACAGTCGTCCGCGCTGTCTCCATAGCACGCTATTTGAGTGGGTGATGAAGGGGGATTTTGCGATCTCAATTGGAAAAACATTGTGAAAGCATCAAGGTCCCGTGGAGGAGAGACTGTATGTTCTAGCCATTGAAAATATGAGGTCAGGGGAAAGTACTTTGCATATATGCCCAATATAGGATCTAGAAGATAACAAGTGATGTTGATGAGATTGGGTGTTATTTGCGCAGAATTTGTGGTGGTGGAATATATACGTATTGTGTAGTGTTGACTGAGGTTAAACTTCTTAGCCGTAGTGTAAGTACATGAAGTGAACCATTTGGGGGGGGGGGGAAGCATCAGACAACATCATGAACACTATACATGGACTAACCTAGACCACAGTTAATGGACTGAGACTGGACGATCAACATCTACGGTGATATAAGTAACGATACCGCTACCGGCCGGGTTCAAAGCATTTAATTTAGGCCCTGTCTACACGACACCGAAAGAGTTTGGAAATGCAGGAGTATTTCTCCGTTGAAATATTTATCCGCGTTTACATGTAAATAAAAAAAAATCGATCCGAAAACGCAAAAGTTATTTGATCCCGCAGTACACCTTTTTTTTCTTACGTTTTTAGTCTAACTTACTTCTTGCTGAACAATTAACAGGTTGAGTTAAGTTGAATAATCCAGTCCAAATGACTTGCTGCCAATTTCCTGAATATCTTGGAACACATCTGTGTGAAAAACTGGTTGTGACTTGATCATAATTATAACTGGTTTGTTGTATGTCAACATTTCCAATGGAACCGGTAAAAAAGTACTCTGTGCCATTTGATTCCTAGACATAACACGAAACATTTTAGAGATACATGCATGCATGGCTTAACTCAGGCTGGCTGAGGATTCATTGTTGAAAAGGCATGATATTGGGGAGGTAAGGTTGTTGGATGTTGGCAAGGTATATGACGTAATACGTACTTTAAAGTAACCAATGTGCAATTCCCCAGGTGGAAAAGAGTAAACTGTTGAATAAGGGACTCCTTTGGTCAATTTCGGACCTTCCCGCTTCACACCATCGAGGTAAAAGTTTATCGTTGCATCTGAGAAAAGCACTATTGCGACAACATGCCAATTGTTATCATTCGTAGGATATAAATGAGGAAACGTAACGTTGTATCTATACATAGGATAAAATATAAGGTTATTGAGTTTACTGGAGACTATAAAGGGAAAATTCCGAGATGTCTTTGACTTATAACATTTGGTTTTTCTGTGGTTACAGACTTCTCACTTACACATAGCCTTTCCATAACTCCACAAAAAAAGTATTTGAATTCCCGTCTCGCCATACAGAAAGTCTTTCTGTCGCTGAAGGAGATGTAGGTATATGGTGCAGGAAGTAGGAGATGTTTTGCTCCGCCGTTTTAAACCAGAAATTTAAGAGCAATTCATGAAAAGAAAGACTTCCTGTGAAGGTAGCGTAAGGGTGGTCTCCCGAGCCATTGAGATTGAACTGGTACATATTGCTAACTAGATAAAAAGGTTTATATTCCTAGACTTATAGTCAGCAAGTATAGTTATGGTAAGGATGACCTAGTTTTCGCTTAGAAGGGTGTGCAACAGCGCGTTTTTTGTCATTAATTTTGATTCCACTATTTCACAAGTTAAAAATATTCATTAGCATGAATTTATAATTTCTTTGTCCTATACAGTGCATAATTGCAAACAAGGTTTCTTAGCCGCATGTAGCAAACTCAGAGCCGAGGTGTATCACTCAGAGCCGAGGTAATTTGTTAAACATGTTAAACGGAACGCACAAGCTATTGATAAGTTTATATATATAGAGAACTCGTATCTACGTATATTCAAGTGAAGACTCCTTTTTTAATTCCTAATTTCATAGGATCGGGCTATCAGCGTACAAAGAATGTCGAGAATCTAGGTGAATTCCTTAATTGATAAATTCCCGTTTTTTTTTATCTTCGCCAACACCTTTAATTTTCCTGCATGCATTTCTCTGAAAATATGGCGAGTTGTCCCTTCTTCCCTATATGTTACCCTCCCTCGTTGATCCTGGGGTGTCTACTTCTCCTTCTTCTTTATACTCACCTATTTGACATTGTGTCCCCTCCAAGGGATAAAGACAATCGCATTTATATGACGTCATTGTGCTGATACATGTTCCTCCATTTAAACATGGGTTTGATTGACATGGGTCGAAATCTTAAAAATATTTCAGCGAACGATCAATCATAATTTTCATTCGATTTAAAGCTTCCCATTTACGAGCGGAAGAGTTTCTCCAGTTGTAATAAAAATAGAAAAACATTTCTGAATCTTTATACATCAATACTGGATGTCAATTTCTAAATGTTTTGGAGTATCTCTATTTCTCGAGAAATTTCATGCCTTGCCAACGCGGCACAGCCCGCTCTATTTTGATGTACTTAATTTTTACTATGTCTATGTATATATTAGATCATGGTGGATGCGAATACGATATAACTCCAGTTTATCAGAGACAACTTAACCTAATCTATTTATGCATGTGGGTTAATGTTTTTGTAGTGGATCGTGTTAAGATATAAATCCGCAAGAAATGCTCTAGCTCCTAAAGTAAATCGTTTCCATCACTATTTAAACCTATCAAAACTATGGTGTAACTCACATTCTTCGCACTTGGGACCATTAAAAGGGAAATTACAAGTTTCACATCGATATCCTAGCACAGCATCAGAAACGCAATATCTTGCATTCGTACACGGGTTACTTCCACAGGGATCTATATCTTTTGGACAAAAGTAGATGTTATCAATTACGTATAAGAGCTTTGTAAAGAAACTGAGTTCTTTCAAGATTGGGGTGCATATACTGTTGAGTTCATTAACATAATACCAATACCAATATATGGTACATATATGGTCAGTAAAGAACGAGGGGAGATAAGCAGAGGCATAGCCAGCGTGAAATAAGTGGGGGGTCTATGCAACCATGCAGGACAGTCTAATAAACAAGTGCTAGATGTAACTAAAGTTAAGTGGGGAAACGTATTAGTGCATGGACCATGGGCCTATTTCAGTTTTGGCAAACCTGCAGGAGCCTTGTACATTGTGTGTCGTGGCATTTGTGGTTTCTAAAAAAACAAAACGGAAACAATTCAAGACTTTAATGTTGTCATTCAGCACTTTAATGTTGTACCTAAAGCCTGTTCACTCTCATGGTCCTAGGAATCTGGGATTCTCTTTGTCGTCACTATAGTGCGCAACATGCTTTGTCTGTCGGAAAATAATACAGCCTATAGGGCCAGGCTCATACTTTTCCTAAGAATCTGGGATTCCATTTGTGTCTGAGGTCACTGGTGCGCAAAATGCTTGCATATGTCTATTGGAAAATAATACTATGGATCCCGGATACTTAGGAGCCAGTGTGAATCAGGCTTAAAAATGACCGCCATGCTCATAACATGCAGCGGTTTAATCAATATATTCAATTTAGTTCAGTTCATGGTGGAACGGTTTGCTTCAGCCTTGTCTATAGGATATGGTTCGTATAAAAATGAACGAATATGGATGGTTCATATAAAAATGTTAACTCTTAGGGACAGCATTAGCTAGCCTATCAAAATCGTGTATTTTCCATTCAACTGCGATCTAACTACGCAGAACGTAGTTAGAAGTTTTATACAACCGGTCCCAGGTAATTTCTGTCTTGTTTTGTTTGCTGTGTCCTATTTTATTTATCCATCTTATAGTCTAAAACATGGTGGTAAAAATGGGGCAAAATTTTTGGCTACATACGGGGTGACGGCCAAACATAGGATTCGTTAAGTAAACAACATCAGGGTTGTCGATGAGATCTTGAGGAGCTGTCTCGTTGCTTGCATTGTTCAATTCACAAACATCCAAAAAAGGAAAGTAATTAAAACTCTGGCATTGATAATTTTCTTCCCAGCAATCTGATAAACAATGTTGTGGGTCGACAGCCTCAAATGTCTTCTTGAACACGTGACCTTTAAGATATTTGCCAAGTGTTGTACGAGTTGTCTTTTTTATCACAACATTTTTGTTCTGAAGTCCATTCGCTAAAGATGTAATCGTAAACAGACCAATGGCGAAGACTGCATAATGATGTGACATCTAGATATTGAGAGATATTGAGATAAAATAACATTAGCACTGCATGTATATTGACCATGCCTTCATTTTGTAAAGCTTATACTTTAATTTAATCAACACAGCTCTTAACAGTCTTAACGTTTAAAATATATCAACATCATGCAAATAGTTGTCATAACTGTATAGAAGAATGCTAGTGGTAGTAGTATTGAAATAGTGCCAGCAGGCACGCCGGAACATCGATAATTGGGGGGGCATATATTCATATATTTGAGTTCTGCATTATTTGTTTCTTTTGAAATCGATTGTTTTTACGGTCTGTGAACTTGAATATATGAATATATGCCCCCCCAATTATCAATCTTCCGGCGTCCCTGAGTGCCAGTACTATATTAAATGGTCGTAATATCGAGGCAGTGGTAATTAAGTAGTAGAATGGTGGTAGTGGTATCATTAGAGTAGTGCTATTACTGTAGTGTGGTGGTTATATTGAAGTATAGTGGTAAGTAGTAGAATCGTAGTACTGTAGTGGTAGTATTGGGCTAGTAATATAGTGAATGGTCGTAGTATTGAGGTAGTGGTAATCAAGTAGTAGGATGGTCAATGGTCGTATAGTTGTGTTGATGAAGTAGTTGTGGAGTTGTGGAAAACGGTAAAGTGGTATTAGTGGTGTAAAGTAATAAAGTGGCATGCAGTAGGAGTAGTGGTATGTAAAAGATACCGGCATTTTTTTCTGGCATAGAATTTATACAACAACTTAGAAAGCTTGAAGCTTTTACGTGCGTGTACGTACGCGCATGCAAAAAAAAACGCGACCGTGGAAAACAGTCAGAGCTGAAGAAATCTTCAGCCCTAGCTTGTTTAAATTAGTCCAATCTTGGTACTTTTTTGAATTTGATATGCAAATTATTTTATTTATCTTTCTACAACCATAACTTATCACGACGGAATTGACAAATTCAACTTGCTATAAATGCTTGAGGCTGATTTTCCCAGTCGCGTTTTCTCTATACGCACGTACACGCACGAGAAAGTATAGATAGATTGAAACATTCGGAATGATAGGTGTGATAAAATGGAGTTTTCCTACGTAAAATTTAACTTAGCAGGTTTTAAATTTTTACTATAATACATACTACGTAGAACTGCATGCTTCCGCATAATTTTTCATATACAATTAAGCCTGGAGGCTGCCATATAAAAACTGCTTATCTGCATGTATATTACCTGTCAATACTATTGAACTAACAAGAATACGAATGTCTGAATACAAAACTTTTTGCTCGGATTTATTCAGGAAAATAAAACTGAACTATTAATATTTTAACTATTTTATGCACAGCAATTTCTTCTATTTTTCCAAGAGTCGTGGTATATTTTTTAACGTACTTATTTCCTTGTATATAAAATGGTTTACTAACCTTTCTTCGTGGCAATCACGCGTACGTTTGACAATTTAAATCTTCATTCAATTAATAACAAACGTATATTAAGACGAACAACTATGTGTTGTTGTGGTAGAAAACGCTGTCCTATAATACGATATGTTGCAGTAACCAGCAGGTGACATACTCGCGGTTGAACCGACTCAGCATATAACTGGTTGTTTACGCTTCAGGTTTTTGCCGTATCCATGACAGCATATTAGGACAAAACTGAACGTAAATTTTTGTCATTTTCAACAAAATTCATTTTCTTTCACAGTTGAGTTCTTGTAGGAAAGGTGCATCATGCAGGTGCCTATATTTAAAGACTACAAAAGCACGTCTTCGCCTCGCCTTCCAATCGAAAACGTACTTTAAAAAGAGAAGCAATTATAACCATAACGTTAAATGTTATAACCTGTTCTAACCGCATGTATGTTGATCAGCTACTTAGGCAGGTTATACGTCGCGTTATACACAGGCTGTATACAAAAATCGCAACCACTAAATATTCATAAATATTCGCTTCTTCTCAGTAACAAAAAACCGTATACAGGCCCTGGGAAATTTTAAGGTAAAGTTGATACACCTTGTGCAGAAAGCAAATCTGATTGTTACATTATGTACGTAAAGTGTACCTGACGTCCTGAGTTTATCGCAGTCCGCAGACTTGTGAAGATCAAGGTTGCTCATGCGGTTGCCAGATCTTTCTCGAAGCACAAAATAGTTTAGTTTCCTATCAATTTTTTATAGCTTCTAACTGAGCTCACAAACACTATGTCATTCCTTTATATGCACCTAGAATGATAATAAGAAGCTATATAATTTGGAGACTACAAAATTTAGAAATTCCGAGGTTGTGTTTTTTACACACTCCTGTACATAGTGTGTACAAAAAGGCTATAATTAAAATTTGTCGTAATTGTGGTGATCTGATTTTTCTTAACCTGATTGTCAGGCCTTCATTTTTTAATCGCAGAAAAAATAAAGGCCTGACATTCAGGTAGCATTCAGGTGAGATTGTTATAAACTGTGTTAAGTTATTCGGTGGAAATCTTAATTTCCCTCAATTTTGTGTTTCAATTGTGAGAGATGAATTTCAAAATTCAGGCAAATCGAGACCAAAGGAAAAATCGTAATTTGTGTCAATTTTTCGAATACCTTAAAATGGTTCGGTTAAAAATGCCTTAAAATGGTTCAAAAGTAAGTAGAATTATATTCTTTCATGAACACAATAAGTTTAAACATAAAATCATACTTCAAAATTTCAGCCAAATCGGTCACGGGGACCAAAGGAAAAATCGTAATTTTCGTCAATTTTTCGAAATTTTAAAATTCGGTTCAAAATTGAAACTTCGAAATCGTTCAGAACTAAGTAGAATTATATTCTTTCATGAAAACAATACATTTGAACACGTAAAATCATGATGAATTTTAAAATTTCTGGGGAACTTGTAACGGGGGACCAAAGGAAAAGGAGATAGGGGATAGTGCAAGAAAGGAATTCATTCATAAAGGGTCCATGATTTATGCGTTGCTGTAAAGACTGTCCATGGATGAATTTCTTTTGATCTCTAAGATTACCACCTTAACAGAAAGTATGCCAAGCCGGTGTAAGGCCGTCATCAATTATAAGGCCAAAGGAGGGTCAACAAAATATTAATATTTCATACAGCTTAGCATGTTATCTAGCCTATATTTATTCGTATATATTGTTAGTGGGACAGTTATGTTCATTTGAGAGCATTTTAAGCAGTTCTTGTTTTGAGCAGTTCTTTTTGACCGCCAGTGCACATTGAAATGGTTCAGAAGTAAATGGAATTAAATGTTTCCATCAACACATAAATTCATACTTTGATGGATTTAAAAATTTCAGGCAAATCAGAAAGAAAACCAAAGAAAAATCGTAATTTTTATAAATTTTGCGAAATTTCAAAATTTGGTTCAAACTTCAAAATATCTTGAAAAGTAAGTGAATTGCATTCTTTCATGAAAACAATACATTTGATTGATTTGATCACATAAAATCATACTTTGAAGATTTTCAAAATTTCACTAAAATCGGTAACGGGAATTTAAGAAAAAATCATAATTTTCGTCAATTCGAGAAATTTCAAAACTCGGTTCAGTCAATATAGCTCGAATGATTCGAAACTAAGTAGAATTACTTTATTTCATGAAAACAATAGATTTTATTACATAAAATCATACTTTGATGAATTCATCTTAGAATTGTTGGTTCAATGGTGATGTCGTCCAGGAATAATGAATCATACCTTGCGCAAACCAGTTTTTCCTGTTTCTTCTAACGGTATGCATGAATGTGAAATGATGGCCTCATATTATATATGCATAATCGTGTTTACTGCAAATTTGAAGTCTTCCTTTTGTAATTTTTCAAAGCATGCAAATTAGTCGTGTTTTCGTCCAGTTAGAGCCCAAACTTGTTTTCTCTGGCCAATCAGGGCCGGAGATTTAAATGGGAGGATATTGAGGAAATTGGATGTGGCAGTTTTGGTGTGATTTAAGGTGATATAAGGACACGCAATGTAGTTAGCTACAACAATAATTCTATGATTTTGAGCAAGAGGCATTATAGCTATAATCTTTTGTTATTGTGTATTCTCTCTTTTATACTATTACTGTGGTATAAAAAAATAGTATAGACCTATGAGCGATCCTTCATTTATGAATATATGTATAATTTACGTTGACTCCGTGTTTTCCAAACATTTATGCTCCGTGTTTTCCATGTTTTTGGCAGACTACGTGTTTTCCATAATTTTTGACTCCTTGTTTCCAATATTATTACGCCAGACTCCGTAATTTTGACTACGGGACTCCGGCTCCGGAACTCCGACTCCGTGTTATCCATGTTGTGGTGTGGCAACGTTGAATCAAAGCTAGATATTTATTTTACCCGCTCCTCGTGTTGCAAAATAAAGTCATCCTATTGGCTGAACACTCCCGGCCTAACAGCTCAAAATTGCTTCTGATTGGACGAGCATAGTAATTTGAATAATATGATTAATTCTTTCCTTTCATTTCTGATGTTCAGGCTCAGGAGAAGAGAATTAATCATATTACTTAAATTACTATGAACGTCCAATCAAAAGCGTTGTTGAGCTGTCAGGTCGGGAGTGTTCATCCAATAGGATGACTTTATTTTGCAGAAACGAGGAGCGGGTGAAATGAATAATATGTGCTTGCTCCAGTTTGAGACATCACTTCAGCGCTGGTCTTCGAAGAATAAAAATGAGCCTCCTCCATGCCAAGAAAATTTCAACAGAAATTGGTATCAGATTGCTATCCTTTTCAGCAGAAGAGAAGTTTAATAGAAGTTTACTATCTCTGACAGACTGTCGTTGGTGTAAATACCAGGTAATATGCCTTTCCCTTTGCCTGTTTTATCAGCTTTTTTCATTGTGAGCTTTTGGGCTGAGGTTCCACGTGTCTTTAGTTCATGTCTTGTAATGCCTCTCTCGTGCTGTGTTCAGCTTCAAATACAAACTTGTATAGCACTAACGTAGCTTTTATTCTTTTCATGCAGAATTTTGACGTATTAAAGCGAAGTTAAACGATGAAATTTGTTAACAAGAGATTGACGACCGATGAATTGTGGCTGAACTGGCTCAAGATAACTCGCCTTTGAAGAGAAAGCAAGTCTAGGCTTTTTCTGGGGAATATTGATGATATGAGAAAGGTAATATATGTCAAATCTTACCGTTGAGCCGCTAACTTTCCCTCTAACCACACGCAAATTACGTTTGAATTGAGTTCTAAAGACCTAAGCAGTGAACTAATAGTGCCTTTTATTCTTCCAGGTGGAGTTTGAGAGTTTAA